CCTGGGGATGGATAAGGTGAAGCTGTAGAAGACATACTTAAATTTCATCTGTGGTATGGGCTGTAATTTTGAAAAACCCTAACCCAACTGTAACTGCTAAATGACCCCTAATTTATTCTTAATTTCTGGTTTGATTCATTTAAATGAGAAAACATTATGATTTTTTGACTGCTCTTCATTGCTTTTCTTTACTTATGTGGTTTGTGAACCTCAGTTAAATATAAACCATATTTCTTAGAACCTTGCAGACTTTTCTGTTATTCTGTTAAAGCCACAGCTGAAAAGATGTTTGCAGAGATTAGGGCCAATAGAACTCCCATCCCAGTGCCATTTAAAGTAAATGGTGTTGACTTCAAAATTTGGAATTTGTAGAAAAATCGAGCCCACGATCCTTTTTTCATTCATGTTTTGGAGAGTTTGCATTTCAAAACCAAGCTTGAATCTGCCCTCCATGAACCCATTCCAACAGTTTATTTTTAAGGTCATGCCAAGACAAGAAAGGGGCTTGTCTTTCAGTCTGACTGCTCTCCAGTAGGAAAAGATTTTGCAGATCTCAGCTCACAGTGGCTCCTGTGGCACCTGAGTGGTGAAGTTTCCAGAACTGCAGCTCTGGCTGTGACACAAATGCTATGAAGCATTTTATATTGCTGTTTTTTGGTCATGTTCTCAGTTCTGATCTGGCTTTAACCTTGAGTTCCAAGGAGCCTGTTCCTGTGCAGCCTTTGCTCCCAGGCTTTCCTCTCAGTGTTTGTTCCTATTAATAAAGGGCTTGTTTTAATTGTTTATGCTCTTAACATTAAAAAAAAATTGATATTGTCCCTGATGGTGCTGAAAGCTGGTGGTTTCTGAGACAAAATCTAAAATCCAGAAGTGATAGTGGTAACACATCCATACTCATGGCAGGTGACTGCCTTCTGCTTTGCCATTGACTGCAGCTTTGAGTCACTGAAAACAACAGCCAGTGCATTTTAATTCCATTTGACTGTGCCATAATCCCATAGATGGGAGTAATGAGAACAGAAAGCCAATTTGCTAAAGAGCCCAAATTGATCCAAGCCACATTGCTCAGCAGCAAACTGCTGTCAGCAAAATAATTGAACTCTCTGAGTGTCAGAGCTTGTTTTGAACGGTCTGGAAGTGATGGATGGGGCAGAGGTTGGTGGTGCTGCACCTTTCCCTGACACCTTCAGTCCAACTTCTGGCACTGAGGGCATCTTTTTGTACCACCACAGCCTCATCTCAGAGCTTCTCTTTAGGCTTTGGCAGCCTCATTCTATACCTAGTGTGTGTGTGTATGTATATATATATATATATATAGATATATGTACGTAGTATCAGTGTTTAAGTATGAAATATGACTTCATATCTGCTCTGACAGCTGTAGCTTCCAATTATAAACTGTGTCTAATTCTACACCATCTTATTCTCAGTTTCATACCTGTATTTATGTTGCACATTGCTGTAGAGACTAAGCCAGCTCAGCTGACACTGGAATTTTTAGCTTTCCAGTGCTGCAGCCTCAGCTCTGCACGGACAGCACGAATCCTCAGTGCTCTCCTTACTCAGTTTTTCCCTTCCAGTCCCTGCTTTGCTCTTGCCAGGCTTTACATGAGCTCTGGAGGAAAGGAGGGATCATGGTGATGAGGAACAAGGCTGAGCTCTTGCTTCTCACCTGCCCTACTCCCCTCAAACCTGATTTTGTACTATAACAGTCTGATTCCTTAATGTAGGAGTTTCCATTTCTCGTTTTCATAGAACAATATTTGTCCTGCTCTTTGTAACAACAGGTGTTTGTGCACTTTCTCCAGGGAAAGGCTATAACCAAAATGATTTAGGTATTAATTCTGTTCCACCCTGGTTATTTAGCCATTCAGGTTACAAACAAATTTTTAAAAACTCTGAAAACAAATAAAAAAGCTGGAGCAATACTTTTTCCCCCCACACCTACATGCCTAGGAGCTTTTGCAGAGAAAGGTATTCTTGGAGCAGTCTTAACACATGGCAAGGGAATGCTTTCCAAAATGCAATGACAACTGCCTGCTTCTTGTCAGGCACTTGTGCCTCATGTGAGGTGCTAATGGATCAAACACAGTGAATAAAAAGCAGCCCCTGAGCTCTGATTCCTGCTCCAGAACCCACGTTTTCTTTCCTTTCCCATTCTCCCAGAGAGTTATCCTAAAGTTACAGGATAACTGATTTCTCTGGCTCACTTCTCCTTCCATTTCCTCCTGCACAGCCATGTCCTGGTCAGAACTGCATCCCAGCCTTTGGGCTCTTCTCCTGGCTCTGGGTTTGAGCCAGGCTTTGAGCCAGGCTGGGTGTCTTCTGTCCCTCCTGAGCACCTCTTGGCACTCCCTGTTTGGGGACACAGAGCAGCCTGGTGCCTCTCAGGGGTGTGCAGACCTCTGGGCTGTCCCCAGAGCCCCAGGGAGCAGAGACAGGGGTGTCCTGCTGGAGGCTGGCTGGGAGGAAGAAGCAGGGAGTGAGGTTTCCACGCTCAGTGTTTCCTGCTGACCTGCTCCAAGCAGCAGCACAGAGTCCCTGGAGCCTGCTGGGAGCTCTCTGGCTCTCACAGGCACTCCCTGGAGCACAACCAGCATCAGCTCTGCCTTTTGCTGCAGGAGGGAGGCACGGATGAGTGAGGCAGGGCAGGGCTGGGCTTCCAGAGCCATTTCTGGACACCAAGTCTATTCCATGTTTTCTTCTGCAAATGGATCCTCCTCTCCAAAGCTCTTTTCCTAGTCCTGCTCAAATTGCACAAATGTCTTTTGTTTAGCTGTGATAAAAGCACAGGATTTAAAAAGCCTAATTTTTTTTTTCCCTTCTTGAATTGTTTTTAACATGTTTCATGCTTTCAGACAGGAGATAAGTTGTACAAATAAGATTAGCTGTAAATGTTTTTATTGTATGCTTGTTGTGTATATTGTGCTAGCTTCAGTCTGTCTGTTGGCTGACCTTGGTGCCCTCAGAGCTCTCAGAAAAAAAGAAAACAGTCCTGCTATATTTGAATCTCTGCAGCTAATTCATATTTATCCTTATTAAAGTTCCTTCTGCTTTGGCTAGAGGATGATACAGGCATTTGAATTCCATCTGATCTGTTTCCCAAGTGGGACACAGAGTGACTCAGCCCCTCTGGCTTCTCTAACATCTCATTAGGAGCCAGCCTGATGTCTGTGACATGACTGTAGGTTGCTTACTGCTAATTCTTAAACTCCATCTGCTTTTGTTGCTGTTGTTGGGGTTCCTCTCTGTTGTTTGGTGTTGGGTTTTTTCCCTATCCCTGTTGAAGTTTTTCAATTTTAAGAAAAGCATCTAACAAGGTCACTCCTCATCAGAAATGGTTTCAGAACTCTGGAGGCTGAGTCCCATCCCCAGACCTGTGTGAAACGATGCACTTAGTGACCTTATCACTGACTTTGTTTGGACTCAAAGTCAGTGAAGCACCGCAGGTTTCCAGTGGCTGATCAACAAGGTCTGCTACAAATGCAGAGAGGCAGTGCAGGATCTCCAGGAATACCTTTTGTGTCAGATACCTGGAAGTGCTTCCCAGTGATGTATGAGTAGCCAGTTTTAGCCCAGGGTGATGTCTGAAGGATGTCTTATTCCAGACATCTACTGTGACTCATCTGCCCATGAGTTCCTCACCCTTTGTTCCCTTTATAGTCAGTGGGGAGTGATGAAGGCTTTGGCAGCAGGAGGCTGGAGTGGGCTTTTAAACTACTTGGATGACTCTGCCCTGGAAGTGCCTATTGTGCTCTACTGTTCATTTATATTAGCATATGTAAATTTCTTTAATATTAACTTGAGTTAAATTGCCCTTTTTCTGCCTCGCACCTGAAGGCACCAAGAACTCTTTGAATTTTCTGCCAATCTTCATCCTTTCATGACCAAAGTGATGCCTGTGACAAGCAGTCACCATCAATTCCTTCTTGTGTCTGTTTTTTGAAGCGATGTTCTTCCCAGCGTCAGCCTTCCTGGAAATCATTCATCTGTGTTGGTTCTGCTTTCTTATAACAGTTTTCCACTGGGTACTGCAGGGAACTTCTGCTCTGGGGTGATGTTGGAGTTCTGGATGCTGAGGGTTTTAGACTTTCTGTACAGACAGACTCTGACTCCCAGGGGAGCACTGCATTGGACCTGAGGATGTGGAAAAGGCTTCCACAATTCATTGGTAGCACTGGGATTACGGGTGTGTAGTTGGTTAGAAATGTGTAATATCAAAGGGTGGAAAACTTAAAGTTTGGGGTTTTAGAATATAGTAATAAATATGAAGCAAGATGGAGGTTTTAGGGTGGAGGCAGGTTGTTCTTCTTCACCTTCTTCCTTCTTCTTCACCTTCTTCTTCCTTCTTCTCCATGGGTTTGGGTGGTGTTTTGTAATTGGACAGAAAATCTGCACTGTGGGCTGCGAGTGATTAGTTATTGGGTTAAAAGGGAAAATAATTTAGGTGTCATTTCTTAATTGAACACTTTAGCCTTAAAAGACCTTGTAAGAAGAGATAGTTAACCATTTTGTGCCTTGCTAATGAAATGCTGCAGAACTCACTGCTGTGAGGCTGTAATATTGATAATAAACAATAAATACCTGAGTGTGAACTCAAAATATCATCTCAAGTGCCTTTGATCCCAACCTTGACAGAGGTAGAAAAAGGAAGCCATTGTAATTGGACAGAAAATCTGCATTGTGGGCTTCGAGTGATCAGTTATTGGGTTAAAAGTGAAAATAATTTAGGTGTCATTTCTTAATTGAACAGTTTAGCCTTAAAAGACCTTGTAAGAAGAGATAGTTAACCATTTTGTGCCTTGCTAATGAAATGCTGCAGAACTCACTGCTGTGAGGCTGTAATATTGATAATAAACAATAAATACCTGAGTGTGAACTCAAAATATCATCTCAAGTGCCTTTGATCCCAACCTTGACAGAGGTAGAAAAAGGAAGCCAAATTCCATCAGGGTGACAAGTTAATGCTGATCCTTTTCTTTCCTGTTTCTGTTTCCTAGAAAAAGGCCTCTCTTCGCTAGGGTACCATCTGTGCAACTACACCCTGACCAAAAGTGTGCTTAAAATGGTTGCCTACCAAAAGTCCTATGAGAAGAAGACATCCTGTGGAAGGTGGATCCCGTGGATGGTGTGTCCCCAGACACACCACAGAACAGAGTTCCACAGTGTTGAAGTCCCTGAAACCATCACTCTCACAGATTGCTGTGAAGGATATGAGCAAGTTGGACTCTACTGCTCTCTAGGTAAGTTTTAGTCAGATTAAGAGAGGAAATAAATGCTTTATATGGAGGTAGATTCACTTCAGCTGAGATGTGTAAAGGCTTAATTCAGTTCTAGGCCATAGGTTCCTATTCACTGAAATAAATGAGTGTAAAATCATATACAGTAAACTTTGTCCAACATGGCAAGGAGTAGACACAGCAGATTAAAGCTCCTGATTCTTGCTGTTTGTCACCTCTAGTCACAAATTCACTAAACTTCCAGGGGAGCCTGAGGAAGGCACCTGCTTGTTAGCCCTCCAAGGGCTCATTACCTGTCCAGGTTCAGGCCAATATCCCTGGCCAAGAGCAAGAATTCACTGTCTGGTGCTGTGTCTGCTCTGAGCCAGCCTGCATCTACACCAGCAGCTTTCTCCTCAAAAGTAATTCAGGATGCACTTGGGATAACATCTCCTTTGATGTGGAGCAGGGTCTGTTCTCAGAGTGCAAACCCAGTTTTGGTTCAAATTTAAAACAGCCTGTGACCTCAGGGCAACTTGATACCAGATGCTTTCCAACCAAAACTAGACTGGGACCCATTTTCTTAGGACTTCCTTGGTTACCTGTGACTGTGTGGGAGGTCTGAGAACTGGTGAGCTTTTTGGTGGATCTGATCTAACATCTGAGTGTTAATAAGACTCTACTGAGGAAGACTCAACCACCTCTGTCTCCAGATGGAAGCTTTTCCCCTTTCCACATCAGGGTTACCAGCTGTCAATCAGAAATTCCCAGTTTTATCAGAACGTGAGGCCTAGATGGAGGGGATTCCTTGGGGAAAAGGAACTTTCTTTTTCCAATGGATAAATTTAGATGTTTTTAAGCTGAGCAGGCATCTTGAATTATCTAAACCAGCACTGAACTGTTCTGTCATCCAGAAAAGTTCCGCAGGACATAATTTTGTCTCCTATTTTCAGCATGACATTGCATTTTCCCTATTTCCACTTTTCAGTATGGACCTGGGCATTTACATAACCGCACACAGGAACAGCAGATTGAAAGGAAAGGTCCTGTTGCAGCCCTGGCCCTTGTTTTGGGTCATAAGACTTGGGTGACTCAGATGTGTGGGAATGTCCCCAAACCTGCTCCTGCAGCGGATCATGTACCGTGGCATGAGGGGGGATGAGCCATATGTCCTGTCATGGGATCTGTCAAGAACAATGTGCTCATCCCACATTTAAGTTGCTTCAGAGCATTGAAAAAAGAACCTCCAAACTTTTTTTTTTTTTTCCCCCCAGGCGTTTACTCCACAGTCACAGGTAGAATATTGTGTCTAGCAGGATTTTAACAGAAGGGTGGGAATACAGAAATGGTTGATATGTTTTATTTGTTCCCAAAAATATTTGCTAGAGAAGAGAAATTAAATAATAATTCCTAATTTGCTCTATCCTGCTACTGTTTGGCTCTTGTGGAGTCCCAGCAAAGCAGAATTTGAGCTGCAGATTACTGTGTGCCCGAGCAGATTTGTCAGACAGGCAAAGGACCTGCTGCTGATCATCTTCTATTTTCCAAGCATCAGTTCCACGCTGGGGAAAATCTCCAGTACATCTAATTATGGTTGAAAAGTTACTTCAGTGAAGTCTTTTGGATATACAGACATGCATACATGTGTGCCTGTGAGTATCAAATGGCAAGACGGAGAGGCAATCAGAGAAAATGGCTTTTTAATTCTGTAGTACAAGGAAAGAGCTGTGCCAGCTAAATGTGGAAAAGTCACCATGATTGTCACTGTTTGCACAAGAAATTCAGGCGTTTCTGAACCTCTGAAAATCAAAACCATCTTCTTGTGTGGAAAAAAAAAAAAAAAAAGCATCCTGGTAACACTTGAAATATTTCTTTCCCAGTATAATTCTGTCTCTTAAAAGCATCTCTAGGGATATTTTAGGCTTGAGAGCTGTTGATGATTCTGTTTCATCCAACATGAACAAATCTGTAAATCTCTTGCAAAGCTTAGCTGCAGAATTTTTCCACCCTGCCCTTGCCATGTTGTTGATGGGCACTCTGGGCAGGTTTGTCCATGAAATACTGTGGTCACCCTGACACTTTTCCCTGTAAAAGTTAACTTGGGAATATTTAAAACCATTTAAGGATTTGTATGGCTTCTAGGTGATTTCCATGTTTACATTATTCTGGTATCTTTGCTTTTCAGGGCATTAGTCATAAATTCTGTGAATGGTAATGCACTGTCTAGACACAGTCTTAAATAAATGATGAGAAGAGAAACTGGAACTGCAGAAATTACTGCACAGCACGCTGCTGAACTACTGTGATTTTCTTCTTGATGTTATCCATGCTGGTGTGCTCTCCATCCTGCCAAGGGGGAAAGGTCTCCATGACCTTTCACAGCAGCCTGTTCCTGGCCACTCCTCACCTTCTCTTCCTAGAAGGAAACATCTACCCCTGCCTGGGATATGACAGGCCCTGCATTTATTGTTTCTTTACTCTAGACCACTGGTCAAGTTGCTCTGGTAGTTCTCACTAGTTGTGTGGCTGTCCATCAGGATAGTGTTACAGGTGCACACACAAATGACTTTGACATTTTTAAACAACAGCTGGAAAGTTAAACATCTAAAAGTTAGGAAGTGCTGGAATGAATTCTTAAGGTAGAATTAAATAAAACAACCTTTGCTTTCTCTCTTTTTGCCCAGGCATGCAGGTCAGTGAACTCCTTTAATTACCTGACCCAGCTCTGCAGTGCCCCAGGGACCACATTTCCCAGTGCCCAGGGATGCTGGAGCCCCTCTGAGGAGCTCCCCAGAGTGTGTGCCATCCTCACCTCCACATTCAGTGCTCTGCTCAGCCTCTCACTGAGTAGAGAATTATTTATCACCTCTGAAGGTGAATCCTGGGGGATTCACAGGCAGCAATTTGCCTTCACAAAGGCTGTGGGAAGCGAGGGAGCTTCTGTGTCGTTCACAGATGGGCAACTGAGCTGCAGAGAAACTGAGATCAAACCATTCTGGGGTGGTTTCAGACCTGCTTTCAGACAACTTGGGTGCAGTTTTAATTTTTTTCATTAATTTATTCAGAATTTCATGGTGCTTAGTGCTGCTTTTAACAAGTTGTATGGTTGGGGCACAGGGCTGCAGGTCAAGCTCATGAACCTGTGAAACCCTGAAGGTTGTTTCACCACACAAAACTTCTCCCAGCATCTTGCCTTTTAGATAGAGACAGGATCCAGCTCTCCAGGCTTGTTTCCAGCTGCCTGAAAGGATGCTGTGGTTATTTCTCCTGGTGGCTGGCTTGCTGCCCACTTTCCAGCACAAGATGAAACCAGAGAGCTCCTTATCTGCCATCTAACCCTGCCTGATCCCCAGCTAGGGAGGGAAAGAGTGCATCAGCACATGATGAAGCCTGGTTTTTAAGCACACACATACAAAAACACCTTAAGAAGTCTCAACACAACTTTAATTGTGGATTTTCTTGAGAGCACTTGATTTGCAATGTTAAATCAGGCTTTAAGTGTACCTTGTGTGTACAATTTCTGAAGGTTTTCAGAGAAACAACTACAAAGTAAAAGAAAAAAAAAAAAGCTCATTGTAGGTGTCCAAGCAGCTCCTCAGCAGGGCTGGGACTTCCAGAGCTGGCATGCAGATGTTCCCATGCTGGCTGTAACCAGAGCAGCAGCAGCTGGCCACAGCTGTCCCTGTGTCACAGGAAAGCCAGGGGACAGTGGTGTCACACATGGGCAGCACTGCAGCATCAGCCTGGGGTGGGAAGGTGCCAGAATGTCCTGTGGGACTGCATCCAGAAGCAGGTGGCTCTGGCTGCCCTGCAGTTTGTGTCCCTTGTGTGCCCCCAGCAGAAATGGGATTGTTGGCATCCCTGCCTGTTCCCCGTGGTGTCTGCTGATGGGAATCCTGTCTGGGAATTGCCTTGTCCCTTTCTGAGCCATCTAAAGCTGTCTGTCTCCACATCCTCTGTGCTGACAAGTTGCAGAAGTTTCCTCCTGTTTGGGTAAAGAAGTGAGTTCTTTCACCCATTTTATTATTGTGGGCTCTGGTGAAAACCAGCTCTGCCTTCATCCTGCCCCTGCCTTTGGGATTTTGTAAAGCTTGACCACATCCCTCTCAGCCTTCTCCCCTCCAAGGCAAAAGGAGCACCCAGGATGGGTGTTAAATATTTGTCAGATGCTGGATCAGCACAAATCCCAGTTAAACCCCAGGAAAGGCAATCAGGATGGAAAACATCCACCTGAGCAAGTAAAGCCTACCAATGCTCAAAGACCCCAAACCCAGGGTTGTGTGATGCAAACTGCCAGCCTGCCTTTGGAACAGACTTTCCCAGGGGCTTCCTCTGTAATTTCATAGATTTGTCTCCACCTTCTGATACCTGAGACAAATGCAGGGTGCTGGTCCCTGGCTCCCACCACACCCTCTGGAAGAAACCATCCCTTCCAGATGGAAGGAGGGAGGGGAAGGGGGTTATGGCTGAGCTAGTGTTGTCCCTCAACATCAATCTCCTGGGAGATGCCACAGCAGATCCAGCAGCTGTCCAGAGGCAGGCTGGCAAGTGACCTTTGGTTGCTAAGCTGCAGTTCTGCTTCCATACATTGATGTAAATAACGGAGGAGAAAAGCCTGTACTTCATCCAAATGACACAGGAGTTGGCTGGCTTGCTCCTCACTGCTTGCTTGGTCGGTGACTGTCCCCAGCATGATTGAAGGGAAGAGCATAAATTGAATTTCCAAAGTGCATCTGGTACAATTAGGCAGAAATGTGAAGCGAATCCATCTCTGTTTCCGTTGATCTGAAAAAGATGACCTTTTGATTTCAGATAAATGGCTGCTGTGGCACCCAGCCAGGATTCAATAGTGTTTTCTGAGATTGCATGGGACTCATTAAACCATTTACACTGCAGTTAAACACACACACAAAAAAGCGACACAGGTGGGAAAAAAAACCAAAACAAAACTGCTTTGAACCTCAAACCTTCTTGAACTGCACTTGAATCTCAGAGCTGGAGGAATTTCCACGCCTGGGTCCAGCTGCCTGGTTTGAACAGTACAGAGCACTGGTGAATAGGGAATTTTCTAACACAAGGAAATCCCTTGGTGCTCATGTTTGTGCAAAATCCAGTGTGAGAGGCTGCTTAGCTCCCTGCACAGGAGGAGCAATCACTCGAGGCTGGGAATGTGTGTGAGAATCAGCTAAGGGCAAACAAGGCTGTTTCACAGCTGAATGTGGCTTTGAAAATCAAGAGGGATATTTCTGGGAAAAGGACCTGTTTGGGGAAACCACCTGTGGAGTGCCAGCCCCAGAGAGAGGAGGACCTGGAACGTGCATGTGGCAGCAAAATGTGTAGATTCCGTTTAAATCTTGGTTAATCAAGATAATTTCCCTGGCTAAGAAGGTTACTTGGCTGAGGCCAGAAGTGCTAGATTCAATATCCCCTCCTGCTTCTCAGAAACCTCACATTTATTCTCATCCAAAGCCTTGGGATAACAGAAATTGTAAACCCACAGAACTGACTGTTCAGAATAGATTTATAGTTTGCTGAGGGCCTTTCACTTGCTATGGGCTTTATGACGTCAAATGTGGTTTTCCTGCACCACAACTGTTTCTCTTGCAGCAATCAGGTTCATTTTTCTCCTGGCTGACTTCAATTGCTCAGTAAAGGATGAAAGAACTGGAGGTGCAAAACAAATGGAAAAGAGATTTCTTTCAGGTCGCTTAGAAAGAGCAGAGCTGAGTTGGGAATGTGGGTAAAAAAGTGAGTTTGTAGGGCTTGGAAATATTTTCTCTTTTCCTCCCTAGGAGAGATTTTGTGCTGGCTCTGACCCAGAACCACTGTCTGCCCTTGGCTTGGGAAGCAGCAACCTCCTGCCTCAGCTGCCCTCCCTGCAGGGCTCTCTGGCGTGGGCCACCAACCTCCTGGAGTGGCCAGCTGGAACAGAATTACTGCAGCTAAGGTTAAATTTGTGCCACAAAATGTTAAATGAAAGTTCTCAACTTCCATCTTACACAGTACCTGTTTTCTTTGATCATTCTATATTATTTGGATTAGTCACAGCTGATATCAGGCACATTTTCTGTTTCTCAGTGCTTCAGTGTCTCCACATTTAGAAACTTACCTACGAGCCCATCCATCCATAATTATTAATGGAAAGTTAGAAACTCAAAATTTCTGTAACAGAAATGTCATGGACAAGAGAAAGATCTGAGAATATTTACACCCTTGAAATGAAATAATGATATTTTAGGCTGCTGTTTCCTTCCCATTAAAAACTCAGAACAGACACGCTTCTAAAATGAGGAGGAGGTATTTAGTATAAATTAAATATCACAACTTTATGGAAAAAACTTTCTGTATTTTTCTTCTCAGAAATGTTTTTGTTACTTAGCACTCAACAGATCCAGTGTATTTGCCTCAAGACCTGGTATTTGTCCAGTGAAGGATATGGAAACATTTGATTATCCTTGCACGTTCGATACTGAATGTCCAGGGCTGAAAAAATGCTGCAGCTCATCCAAAGGAGCAGGCTGTGTGGATCCCATGCCAGAGGGTATGTTACTGATAAATTCAACACTGCTTCTAATAGAAATATCCTTAATTTTCCCTCCTGAGGGTGGGAGTGGGCAGGAAAACTGTTACCATAGCTCTTCCTAAAACAAATACGGGATTGTGCCTTGAATGGATTCCAGGATATTCAGCTTCAGTGCCTGCACCCCTGAGCACTGAGTGGTGTGTGGATGCTGTGGGTCCTGCAAACCTTCCCTGGCTCCTTCTCCTTGGCTGGCTCCTCTGCCTGTGGCATATGGCAAACGAGGCCCTGGCTGGGCTGTTTGTGGGCCCCTCAACATTTGCCAAGTGAAATCTTGCTTGGTTTCCTCAGAGCCTCCCTGAAGCTCTGTCGCCTTCTGTAGCACCAGAGCTCAGATGATTTGGCTGTTTTATTTCCTCCACTGCAGGGAGGATGTTCTGGTACAACGTGACAGTGCTTGTGAAAATGGATTTTAATGAATTGATCTGGGTGGATTCCCACCTTCTGAATCATTCCCGCCTTCTGCACTCCGTGGTATGTACAAAAACAAACTCTTCCCTCCTTGTGCCCGTGATTCTGCTACTCAGGGGCCACTCTTTGCTCCCCCTTTGTTCTGACCCATTGATGTTTTTTTGGCCCTATTTCTGATTATTTCTGTATTTCTGATTACTGAATGTCAGCTGCGTCCTTAAGCAATCCAAGTCACATTGATGTATCACTTTCTTTAGCAAATTTTTCAGGTCTCTTCCAAGGGCAATTTAAAGACATACTGAAATAAAGGGGGTTTTCCTGCTTAAGTAGTGCTTGCTCCAGTTTTGTCTCAGTTCAGTTTTGGGCCTATGACAGACTGGGACCAGACTTCAAGACATTCAAAGCATGATGTTTTCTGATATAGAATTTTAAGTTAAGCCTTTCCAAGACAAACCTATCTGCCATAACCTGCTGGCACTGATGGGCAGAGAACAAAAATGACAACAACAACATTGGTGTCATTCTTCTTCCTATCTGATTTCCCCTTCTCATATCCTAAAAAAGCAGGAAACCTGGTCCTGTTGCTGTGTAGTAGGGAGTAGGGGCAAAGATCCACCAAGGCTTTTACATCTTGGTCTAAAACAAGCAATGTGGAAGTCAAACACTTTGAAATGGGGAGTTGAGGTGAAGCTGTTCAATGAGCTGCTCCTCAGAGTGTCCTGCTGTCTGTTCCACTGACTCTTAATGCTCAGTCCACCAGCAGATCCCTTCTCCCATTCCTGACTCTCAGCTGGGATGGCTGGGTCTCTCTGGGGTCTCTCTTAATCCCACCCCTCATCCTGAGTCCATTGCTTTTCCTCTTTTTTCTTTCTATTCCCTTTGCCAGCAGTCCATTTAGCTGTTCAAAGTAATGAGTGTAGGACAGCTTTATTGCAGGTGAATTGCAGTGGCCTGTGTAATTTATTGTAATCCATTGAGACTTTGCAAAGTAGGATTTTCCCACCTCTTCCTGGGTTACTCCTTGTCTTAGTTGGAACAGACAGGTGTCTGCTAAGGAAGGCCGGAGCCTCCCCTGAAATGGTCTTACAAACCAGGACACTCCTTCTGCCAAAGCATTTTGAGATCAGCTCCACGCCCCCCTGAGCTTGGCATTTCTGTAACATAAATCTGCTGTGAAATGTGAAAATAAGAACTCATCTTGCATAAATACAGGCCTAAACCACTTTACCATGGTTTCTGAATTTCTTCCTGCACTCAGATTATGATAATAACCACTGCATAATTCATGTGCTGGGAAATGACCAAGGTGCTCCAGTGTCTGCTGGCCTTTTTTCCAGATCACTGGTGCATTGCAGCCCCTGAATGCCTCTGTGCACCACATCCAGAGTGACCGTGGGGACATCTACGCTGGGACAGTGGCCTCCCAGCTTCTCCTGGGCATGCACCATCCAGCTCCTCTGGCAGAGGTTTCCTCCTCCCTGAAGGCCATGGTGGAGCGCGTGTATGAAGTGATTGACGCACAAGTGCAAGGTCACTGACTGTAATCCTGCCACATTTTAGGGGCTTTGTCCCTCTTCACTTGGGATCTCATTTATATAACCATTAATTTGCTTTCCAAGGTAGCACAGAGGAACTTGCAAACTTTGCAAACACAGCCCTGACCTTTCTGCTATAGGATGGAGAGTTAATGATTATTTTGGAGTGAATAGTTTGGAAGGGAACGCCTCCGAACCCTCAAATTTATTTTCTCCCAGTAACATAGTTTTCAGATGAAAAAGCAAATATGTGCATATTTGTAGCACAATCATTAGTTGTATTAAACAGGCTCTTAAAAACCTGTTTTCTTGGGAAGCAAATATATTATCCAGTACCTTGTATGAAACAAGCAATATTTATAGTCTTTTAATTACTATAGCACATTACTACATACTTTTAAAATGTTACATAAACATTTCAATGTATTAATTTTAAATTATGTCAAGCTACTTATTGCTCTGCAGTTGTCTGAACATTTTCACTCCTGAAATGCATTATTCTTATTCTGTGTTTGCTCAGTCCAGCCTTCAGTGAAATCACTGGGTAGTCTTCCTTCCTCCTGTGCTGACATCTCAGGTTTGGATGGTGTCCTACAGGTGTAAGCAGGAGCTGCCCCTAATTGTCCTCTAATTCCAAAGAATTGGGGTAAAAAGTGTTAGGGTGGTAACATCCAGAATGGCTTTAACAGCATTACTGCAGATTTCCACTGAATTTATCATAGCCAGAGCCTGGTCTACAAACAGTTCAGATCAATCTTGATAATATCTGTGCAAGGTGTGTTGTTCTTCCTAGATGTCAATGAATGCTCCTATGCTGAATTCAATGCTTGCCCTGAGAAAAGCAGCTGTGTAAACCTGGAGGGTTCTTACAGCTGCCACCCCCAGCATGACCATGGCACTGTCATCCCTCACTGGCTGAGCCCCAGGAAGGAAGGTAAGAGATGTAGCTTTCACCCTGGGAAGTGCTGAGGATGTTCCTGCAGGACTTTGTGCTCCTTTGCAGGAGTCACCTGCAGGAATCTCTGGTGCGTGAGTGCCTCTTCTCCTCCTGTTGGAGAAAATGCCACAGAAATCTGATACCTATTTCTGATTGAAATGGAGAGTATTTATTTCACAGTCCCTTGTGTTTCCTCTATTTCACCCTCAGCTGTCCTCACTCCCCTGCCAAAACCTGAAACTTCAGACCCTCCTGCTTCTCAGAGCAAGTCACTTGTTGTCATTGCACCTCCCCAGCCTCTAGAGAAACAATTAATGGCATTATTTATACCATTTTCTATTTTCCTGTTCTGACTGCAGCCCGGACTCAGTGGTTGTGTGATCCCACCCTGAGCTCCTGCACTGCTGCTGAGCTCTCTGCTGCAAGCAGCTGGAGTTTGGCACTGGCTGAAATAATTCCTTGTGGTACCAGTTCAGCAAAATGTACTTACAGCCCACAGACATCAATGGGCCTGCTAATAGGCTTTAAGATAATGAGATGAATAACTGCTTGCAGATTCTATGCTTTAATTAGAAAACAATTTTACAATCCCTTAATCTCAAAAATTAAGATAACGTATTACTTTATGCTTTTGTGATATGATAACACTTATTTTTTATTTCTATTATTCTATTGCTGTTTGTCATGTGGAAAACCTGAATGGTATTATTTTGGATTTGTTTCCTTAGAAATACTCTAACTCTGATAATATGATTTTCCCCTAGGCATTGTAGCATCTACTCCGAGTTCAGTAAATGCTCTTAACACTGGCAGTAGCTCTCCTTCTCTAAGGAAATCAAGTCTCTTGTCCATAACCAACCAATCTACAGATGCTGGGTGCTGTAAGTGACTTTGGATTTTAATAAATGCTTTCTTGATTTATGACGGGAGCAAACCTCAGTAGATTTGTGTTTATATGGGTGATCCAGCCCTTTCAGGCAAGAGTTATTACAACCCTTTTAACAACACCCTGTTCTTCTGTGGGAGGAAAGAGATTTAAGTTGTTCTTTGAGAGTTCAGAGAGACAGGCTGGATATTCTTGATCTTCATCCACGACTTCTGATCGAAGCTGAGGCCAGAGGAATTAAACTGAGGCCCCTCTAGCACAGGGGGGAGTGGCTTTGGGGGTGTTTGGCAGCCACCTGGCTCGGAATGCTGGAAACAATTGTGTTCTGTTGAAGCCATTTATGAAAACAACCTTTTCTCCTTAGCCTAACCATCAGCATGAAGGACCTGAAGCTGTGGCAGCAGCATGCTGTGGTCTCTGGGGTGTGATGCTCATTTCTCCTGGCCCCAGCAGAGGTGTCTTGTCTGGGCTCTCTCTCTCGAGCCAGACAGGCTGGCTCTGCTGCAGGGCAACTCATCCTGCCCAGTTTAAACACCTCCTCCTCCCAGGACAGGAATCATCTCTGAAGGGCCCTGTCTTTTCCCATTGACGTGACAATGATTGCACTGGACTAGAGTGGAATGACAGGTCAAGTGCTGCACGCCACTCTCCCCCAGCCTCTGTTAGCTGGGCTCTGGGGGGGTTTTCCAGGATAAATCCAGGCAACCTTTGCCTGAACAGGTGAAGTTTGGTGATTAAAGTGACAGGAGGCAAAGCAGGTGTCAACACATGTAGAGTACCCAGAGCCACTCTTCCAAACTTATTGCTGTTGCTTGCACCTGTAGCTTGCTGGCTGATTATTTCTGTGACTGGAGATTTGGAGGAGATTAGGTTGTCCAGAGGGATTGGGGCTGCTTCATTCCTGGAAGTGTTCAGGCTGGATGGGGCTCTGAGCAGCCTGCTCTAGTGGAAGGTGTCCCTGCCCATGGCAGGGTGTGGAACTGGATGATCTTCAAGGTTCTTTCCAGTCCAAACTATTCTGTGATTCTATGATTGAACAGAAATGCATATAGTAAAAGGAAATAAAAAGGTTAAACACTAAATAAGTCACTCTAGTGGGATGGTTCATGGATGAGGGGATCTGCTGGTGTGAGAGGGGCAGATTCTGTCCTGACCCTATTTACTGTCAGAGTGCTTGTCTGTAGTGGATTTAGAACAGCACAAGGTTTTAAAAGTGAAATATTGCTTTTTCTGTGCCAACTCCTGCAACAGATCCCTCTGCAGTTACAAACCATCGAATCCTCAGCGTTACCAGCAACAGCTTTGGAATGTCCTGGCTTGTCAGTTCCACTCTGAACCACACTTTCCAAGTCCGGGTGGCCAAGGGCAATGAAACTGTGCAAAACCTGAAGACAGAGGAATTGCAGCTGGATGTGTCTCACCTGGAAGCAGGTGTGATGTATTCAGTAGAGATCAGTTATGAAACTTGTGGAAAAACCATTATCTCCCGTCAAAATGTTAAAACAGGTAAAGAAACACTTTAAAATACATATATATAATATAGTATATCTCTGTCTTCTCCATTCTCCTCCTTCCATGCCCACTCACTTGCAGTTCAGCAATGACCCTTTGGTCCTCACTGAACAACTCCTTCAGCACTTTTTATCTCATCTACTCTAGCATTTATCCAGCCCAGAATATCAGGCAGCAGAACTTTGGCCTTAGTTGATAAAGCAGTTCTGGAGCTGATTAGACCATTACAGATATCAGGCTAGGCTAGCTATAATTCTTTTTAAAAAAATTTATTTCTTTGGTGCCTGGCACTGCTTTCTGATGGCACCCATCTCCCAGCAGGCCTCGTTTTTCCCTGGTTGATGGCTGTGGCCAGAGGGAAATCCAGGCAACTGGTTTGTCAAGGGCTCAGCTGAGCTAACAAAAGTGCCCAGGGGAAGGGCAGATTCTGCTGAATAAAGGATTAAAGAGAATTACAAGGACTGACTAAGGAAGCTGCAGACTACCTGCCCTGTTCTGTTCAATTAACTGGTGGTGGGAGATTCCTGAGGCCCTAGTGTGTTGATCAAACATAATTTTGCTTTTTCTCTAGTCTTAAATTATTTCCTAAGCCTCCATGCAAATAAAGAAATAAATCCCTCCCTTTTTTTTTTTTCATAAGAGCAGGCAGTGAACTCTTTATTACTGACCACAGTGGGAATGCTGCTGTTCATGTTTGTCCCTAAGAGCCTTCCCTTTGATGAGATGAGGGATGACTCCAGTTTGGGTCAGAAGGAAATTACTCTCTTTGTGGAGGGAAAGTAGGAGGTCTAGTGGTTATGAAAACAGAGAGCTGAACTTCAGAGTATGAAGTTGGAGCACTTGAGAAAAAGAAAATTTTTCCAAGGATCAGTCCAAGGAGTAACAGCCTGGGAGTGTTTATACAGGACAAAGCAGTTAGAGATTCCTTGGCTCTTGGTTTTGGCTCCTGTGCTCTGTACAGTATCTGTCAGGGCTCACCACACACACAAGGGGCATGCGCAGCTTTTTGCTATATTTTCAATTTAAGAATATATTTACGATCCCCACTGCCAAGATCAGGAAAATAAATAAATAAAAACTGTGACTGGTGGGCCAGAGATGAGCCCATGGACAATTCAACCCTGGGTGTAATTTCAAGGCAGGAGTTAGGAGGGCCAGGCCCAGGTGTGTGTAAACCCACACGTAAAGTATGTGTACACCTATTTCTCCTGCAGTTGCAATTAGGCACCAAAATATCTCTTTATACCTGATATAAGTGCATCTTCTCAATGTATCAGAAGCTTGTAGGAGCCTATTGGATTTATTTTTTTTATTTAATACCAAACTCTCTCAACCTTTCTGCTATCAGCTGAGATTTTGGTCCGGGTACATAAATTTTAACTGAATCCTTTCCTACTTTGTCAGTGTGTTTTAATATTGTGTTTTACAGAGGCCAAGATATTTGATGTTACTATGAGGATTCTCAACTACAACTTCACTGATGATTTCCATAATTCCAGCAGCTCAACATATGAGGAATTTTCAAGGCTGTTGCTTACAGAGGTAAAATGGCTATATCTCTAGGTAATATGTATATATTTTAATGTAAACTGTATTTAATCTAATAGAGGATTTTATGCCTGGATGAAATGTTCCTTCAAAAATCAGCATACTATTTCCTGTGACCTTTCTTTATAATTACAACAAAATTCAACTGACTAGACAGATCAAGCCCTTGGCCTTGTTAGCAATGAAGCCAGTGAGAATTTTCCCTTGCAGAAGAGTGAAGGAATTATAAATGCAGGCATGCAACAGGGGGCTTCTTTCCTTGGATCTTTAATTTGGCAATAAACTCACAGTAAATTAACTTGAGGCTTTTAAATGGATTATTGAAATGGCATTCCTGGCATTCATTTCAGCACAGTCTGCTCAATAAATGTCTTACTCCTCTTAAATAAATAGTTCTCTGCCTGCTCTCTTTCTTCTTTCAGGAAAAGTATCTGGATCAGGCTTTCTTCCCCAGCCCCATTCCTTGCCTGCACACATGTAGCCACTGTCCACAGCCAGGTGTAATCAGCCAGAAGCAAAACTTGAGTCATGAAGTCTGGTGACAGCTCCCCCAAAAAAGGGGGAGGTTTCAGATGGAGCAATCTCCTACAGTTTTGCTGTACAGAACAGGGCCCACCCAGAGGAATTGGGATCTCCACCCAACACAAGGGCTCCCCAAAACAAAGGGTGACTTGTAATCATGTGTGCATTTAAACGCAAGAGAAAACCCCAAAACAATAATGGAGGTATACATTCAAGAGCAGCAGAGAAGAGGCATTTGCCCAACAGAAATTGCAAGTTGAACCTCCTCACGTGTCTTTATTTCCCACACTTGCAAGTTGTTCACTTTTGTTGTGTAGGAAGATTACTGTGAGTGAGTCTTCTCTGAGATTAATGCAGACCTGATTGGCTTCATCAGGTTGGGAAGAAAAAGGAGCATTGCCCATCTGTGTTGCTTCTGCCTCCTTGGGTGTTTGTGAGCACTCTCATTTCTTCTCTCCTCATTTTCTTGCCTCTCTACGCTGATGTGAGCTTAGACCAGCTACACAGCTTGTTTGTAGGGATCTTTTTGAGCAAGCTCTGACTGAATGGGAACAAAGCTGTGCTGATTTGTGGCTCTGGATTCATGCTCAAAGGCACACTTTGAGGTGTATGCAGCAACAAAAGGCTCAAGCAAGGAGCTGCCTTCTAGACATGTGAGGTGAAACTGCCAGCTCCTGCACAGCTCAAACACTGACAGCAGTGTGCCAGTGTTCAGTCAGAGTAATGCCATTTGTTAGCTGAAGTGACTGCTCACTGGTTTGGTAATTAACCATGATGTAATTGTGATGCTGCCTTGAAGCTGGGCTGTCGCAAACATGTTTTTTGAAGTTATCCACCTCCATTTTTCCTGTCTCTCATCCTGAGGATTTTTTATTATTGGACTCAGGTGCAGGCTGAACTTGATCTGGGGAGTTTCAAATGCTCCCTGGGAACTAAAGCCACACCCACACTTGCAAATGAAACAAAATGTATATGTGACATACAGATATAACATCAAGGCTCTGCTGCACACACATACCAGGACAGTTCAGCTCTGATGCAGGCAAACAGGGCCAGGGGGAATTTTGCTCCCTTGAGCCAAAATTCAGAGCTTGGTTTGTTAAGACCAGTGGTCAGATGGATACAGTTTTCAAAGGTATAATAGATTTATATAATTGCAGAAAGGTTTGGTTTGGAACATGCCTTGAAGATCATCCAGTCCCAAACCCCTGCTGTAGGCAGGGACACTTTCCACCAGACCAAGTTCTCAGAATCCTGTCCAACCTGGCCTTGGACACTTCCAGTGATGGAGCATCCACAGCTTCTCTGGGCAGCCTGTGCCAGGGCTTCACCACTCTCATAGTAAAGAAGCTTTTCCTAATATTTAATCTAACCCTACCCTCTGTCAGTTTGAAGTCATTCCCCCTTGTCCTGTCACTCCAGGCCCTTGTAAATAGTCCTGCCTCATCTTTCCAGTAAGTTCCCTTCAGGTACTGGAAGGTCACAATTAAGTCTCCTCAAGCCTTCTGCTTTGCAGGCTGAACAATCACAATTCTCTCAGCATTTCCTGGCAGCAGAGCTGCTCTGATCCTGCTGTCTCCTCTGGGCTGGCTCCAGCAGCTCCTCATCCTCCCTGTGCTGGGCTCCAGGGCTGGAGGCAGCTCTGCAGGTGGGGTCTCACCTGAAGGGGGCAGAGGGGCAGAATTCCCCCCTCTCCTGCTGCCCACGCTGATTTTAGTGAAGCCCAGCACACAGAGGGTTTCTGGGTCCCAGTGCACACAGGGTGTGTCCAGCCTCTCATCCACCAGCACCCCCAAGTCCTTCCCAGCAGGGTTGCACCAAGGACACTTGCACTACTTTGTGCCACAATAATCTCTGAAAAATAAGATTTCTGAAATACTTTGGAACTTTTCTTTTTCCAGCATCTTCTGTGTTGTGCTTATATAAATGTTTAAAGAGGTACCTGTTGGCTCCCTAATTGTCAGTGCTTCTCTCCCTTTGCTCAGCTTGAAAATTCATTCCCACCCAACATTTCTGCCTTGTACAAATCTGGGAAGCTCAAAGTGCAGATTGAATCTCTGGCAGCAGGAAGCATCGTTGTGAAGCTCAGAATCACCGTGCAGGATCCTGAGTTTCCAGTGGATGCCTCCACATTTGCCCCAGTGCTTTCCAACCTGCACAATGGCTCTGTGCTTGTGGTGGATCAGCAAAACACTGCAGTAGAAGGTAATTTTTGGGGTTTTTTTTCTGGAAGAAGAAAGCAGTGTTTGTGTTTTGATCACATGCAGTATCACCAATATTCTTCACAAAATAGAGAAACAAAGGATGTGGTTTGTTGAAGAGAAAACCATGATGTGAGAATTCTTCCAGATGTTTTATCCATAAGCCCAGAAGGGTCAGACAAAGGAGCACTGGCTGTCCCCAGGTACCCGCAGGCACTGCTTCTCCTCACCATGGTTAACCCAAGGGGAACCCTTGGTTTCCTTATTCATTTTCCTCCCTCTCCTCTCTGTCCCCAGCTGGAATTTTGCCATATCTTTCTCAAACTGAAAGGCAGACAGGATTACTGTGGAATATCTGCAGCCTTTAGATGCTCACGCCCTCTAGACAGTTTTGTGCTCCAAGACTGGAGGACTGTATTTGGGCCAAGATTTAAGAAATCCAACATCTTCCCTCTAGAAACCCAGCCAGAGGAATTCCCAAATGTCCTTACTGTGAATAGGACTGAAGAAACACGCATGGAATTTATGTTAAACCAGGCCTTTGTTTGATCTTCAGTAATCACCACTTTTATCTTCAAAGGACTGAGTTCTGTCCTCAGGTTTCCCAGCTGGCAGAGACAGCAGAGTTCAGAAAGTTGCCAAAGCCAACAGAAGAGGTTATTCTTCTCTCTTGGTGTGTTGAGCCTTTCTGAGCAGGAAAAACTCCCTTTGGAGTTGCAGAGCATATGCAGGTTAAGGAGAACAGGACAGGAAAAAAACCAGGAGACAAATTGCACTTGAAGCCTACAAATATCATAGTGGCAGCTGAATTGCAAGATGCTGATGTGTGCCAAAATACTTTGTGAATGTTATTGATCCTAGGACCAAAAGGCTGAGGAAGAAGAAGGTGATGGCTCTGGACTGTCACTTTAGCTGCAGAAGACCGGGTGGCTTCCAGTAGCACCACACTTATCCAGGGGCACAGCCAACACCTCCACTCCTCCCTAGGGGCTGAGAAAAGGGGTTTCTTTATTAGCTCTACCCAAATAAGAGTTATTTCCACATGAGTTTCCTAAGTGGAAAATAAGGAGTGAAACACAGGAAGGAAGGATTTGTATAATGGGGTGTTTTGCTTCCTGACCTCAGAGAGCCTCAGGACATGACCTTTGGCAATAAGCCCACCCAAACCCTGTCCCCTGGATCCTCCCTGCAGCCTGGCCACCACCTGGCTTTGTGCTTGGTTTAGTGACACTCCATTCAACTGTGAAAAGCAGGGATGAGCAGTCAGAAGGGACAGCACAACTGAAGGGAGTGGACCAGATCTCTGGGAAGATCCATAAATTATTAAGTTTATTGCCATGATGAATAAAGACAATAAAATCTGTTTTGTGGGGCATGGTGAGAGAAGAGAAAGGGATGTGTGCTGAGTCAGGCCCAAGATCTTTCTAGCACAATGTCCCAGCCAGAAGCCAATTTCTGGAGAAAGCATCACCTCCTACAAATTATCCCTTAGCCAACAACTGTTTTCAGCTTCAGGACTCCCTGGGTCCAGAGCGATTTCTTTGGCTTTGTTTATCCCCCATGAATCTCCCCCATCAAATCAGATCTTTAAATCTTTAGCATCTGCAACATCATTTGGCAAGGAATCTCACAGATTTTTACCCTTTGCATGTACCCCTTACAGGTGTATAATATGTAATCAAAGTGAACACAAAGGTGGCTTTTTAATAATTTTTTGACTAGGACTGTTGGTTGAGGTGTGTGTAGGGAAGTGCCAAATGTGAAGGGCCAGAGAGGTGCCGAGAGTGCAGAAAGACAGTTCAGAGCAGAGCTTGCCTGAGATGTGAAGGTTTGGAGAGGGAAAAAGTACACAAGTGATGCACCAGTCAGTGCCAGCGTTTTGACCCGATGCGTGATTGAATGTGGCCATCAGGGGTGAAGGAATTTGCTTAAAAAGCTGTGCTAAGTGAGGAGAAAGGAAATCCTCAGAGACAATGGAGGCAGTGAATGTAAGTGATTGGGCAATTAGCATCTCTCAGATGGTGTTGGAAGCCACCAAGGGTCACAATTATTTCATGGCAGAGTTAGGAATTAACGAGATTTCATCTCTGGTGTTCAGTCAATCCTGCACCCTTCTGCATTCCCTCTAAGTGGCTTAGGCTGGAACATAATAGGCAACTGCTGGCCATAAGCACATGACATTGTCTAATGGAGAGTTTCATGGACACAGCAATTACACAATGACAAAAAAAGTAAAAAGAATTGAAATATTAGCTAGAAGGAAGGAAAAGCAAGCAGAAAGATGAGTGTGTGTGTATGGGCATGCACACGGAATGGGACATTCCTTTGTTTCACCATCATTATAATCACCATCATTAATCTGCAAGTTTGCAGAACAAGCACTTCTGTTAATTTGTTATTCAGAACAATTTTCTAGCATCTGATCAGAATGATTTGTCCCAAGACACAGTTTTTAGCCTCATTTGCTGCTCTCCCTCTTTCAAGGCCCCGAGGCAGAAGGTGAGTGCACAAGGCAGCCACACAGGGAGGGCTCACCTGGGATTCACTGGAATTATTCCTGTCCAAAGGACTAACTCAGCCCTTGCGGATTTGCTGGAACAGGGTGTGAATGGCAACACAAGACTCCAGATATAAATCCCTTAAAAGAGAAGAGACTCAACAATAAAATAGGTCCATAACTGCATGAAAAGGTCCCTCTAACTGATACAGAGCAGCTGAAATCAGACACAGGAACACCCTTAGAACATTTTCATGCATTGATGAATCAGGATGTCTTTTCTGACACTACCAGAAAGAGGGTCACAATTTTACAGCATTACTTTTGAGAAGAAAAATTGTATAAAAAGAGATTTTGCCCTTGGCACTTCCTCTGTTAAGAAGAGAACAGTGCTTCCCCTGGGAGTTACTAACATCTACTTTTTATTTGAAGCAGAAGATTATTTGGATTAAGTCTCTATTTAATGTTGTATCTACTGGTAACTAGTGGTAACAGATCTATTCATTACCTGATATATCTGGAGGTGCTGTACACAGAACTCAGTATAGTGAGTGATTTTGATATAATTGTAGTACAAAGCTACAGCATTTTTTTTTCACTTTAAATGTGTTTACCTCTAAAAACAATGATTTTAAAAGTCTTTACTCAGAGAAAATACTTTTCAGAGTACAAGAACAAGAGAATAACAAAACAGTTAGTGTTCTGCATCACTCAAAGCTTGGCTGACAGGTTAATGATGAAAAAGGAAAACCATGAAAGTAAATTAAAAAAGGGCTACTTAATGATTATTTCTAGCTTAATGCAGCCAGCAGGGAGGCTCTCTAACCCTTGTTCTTGTTTTGGTCCCACAGACTGGGATGAATGTGCTTCCCTAGAGAATGACTGCTCTGTGTTTGCAGAGTGCATCAATTTGATGGGCTCCTACACGTGCAGGTGCAAGACAACCATGGATACCAATCCATCCCGACCTGGAAGAAACTGTGAGGGTGAGAAAAAGGCTGGCATGTAGGGTTTTTTTTCGCTGTGAAACATTGGAATAAGTTGTGGGGTTTTACATCTGCTTTTATAACAGCAGATGTAAAACCCCTGTTTTATAGCTCTTCATACAATTGCATCTTTGCAGTCTGTGGCTGAAAGGGTATATGTGACCTGTCTCTAACTAAGTAACTAATTATATATTTTTATTTTTAGTTATAGTTATCATTATAGTTGTAGTTATAGTATATAAATAAATAAATAAATAAATTCAGGTGAAATCTCTCTGACATCCTCCTTGATAAGCCAAATAACTGCAAGGAGTACTTTTCCCTCTTTTGCTATGTCTGTGGCTAATTTCCTCCCACCAAGCTGATCCACAGCCTTGCCAACCAGAACAGGAGACCCAGGAATCAAATCTGCTTCTTTGTGTCAGCCCAAACCAGATTCAACCCCACGAAAACCACATGTTCTACGCTGTGTTCATGACCATCCAAGACCTGTTTTTGTAATGCTGCCATGGGTGGTTGAGCGCCCTCGGTGCCATTTTCAGGCCAGGCTCTGGTGCCTCCTTGTCCAGTTTGAGGCCCATTTCAAGGTGTGTTTTCTGTGTTGCAGGTGAGATTGTGGATCCTTTTACTGAAACCGTGGCTCCTGAAACAAGAACCAGCATGGACTTGGCTCCTGAAGAAGGCAGAAGCCCTGCAGGCCCTGCTCCCGCTGCCGCCATGGGGACAGTGGCTGCCGCAGGCCGCACGTCAAGCGCCGCCACACTCCTCCCTGCTGCGCTGGCCCTGGGTGACAAACGAGCATCCCACAGTCCCACCAGTGCTTCTCTAACCCCTTGGCAAAAAGGTCTGGCCCCACAGATGGCTTTCAGCAGCCCCATGGCTGTGGGGGTCACTCCCGGCAGGACACTGGCCATGGAGACAGCGGCTGCTGCAGGCCCCGCGTCAAGCGCCGCCACATTCCTCCCTTCTGCGCTGGTCATGGGTGACAAACAAGCATCCCACAGTTCCACCAGTGCTCCTCTAACTCCTTGGCAAAAAGGTCTGGCCCCACAGATGGCTTTCAGCAGGGACAGCAGTCCCCTGGCTGTGGGGGTCACCCCCAGCAGGGCACTGGCCGTGGGGACAGCGGCTGCCGCAGGCCGCACGTCAAGCGCCGCCACACTCCTCCCTTCTGCGCTGGTCATGGGTGACAAACAAGCATCCCACAGTTCCACCAGTGCTCCTCTAACTCCTTGGCAAAAAGGTCTGGCCCCACAGATGGCTTTCAGCAGGGACAGCAGTCCCCTGGCTGTGGGGGTCACCCCCAGCAGGGCACTGGCCGTGGGGACAGCGGCTGCCGCAGGCCGCACGTCAAGCGCCGCCACACTCCTCCCTGCTGCGCTGGCCCTGGGTGACAAACGAGCGTCCCACAGTCCCACCAGTGCTCCTCCAACCCCTTGGCAAAAAGGTCTGGCCCCACAGATGGCTTTCAGCAGCCCCATGGCCATGGGGGTCACTCCCAGCAGGGCACTGGCCATGGGGACAGTGGCTGCTGCAGGCCCCGCGTCAAGCGCCGCCACACTCCTCCCTGCTGCGCTGGTCATGGGTGACAAACGAGCGTCCCACAGTCCCACCAGTGCTGCTCCAGCCCCTTGGCAAAAAGGTCTGGCCCCACAGATGGCTTTCAGCAGGGACAGCAGTCCCCTGGCTGTGGGGGTCACACCCAGCAGGGCACTGGCCGTGGGGACAGAGGTGGCTGCAAGCGCCGCCACACTCCTCCCTGCTGCACTGGCCCTGGGTGACAAACGAGCGTCCCACAGTCCCACCAGTGCTCCTCTAACTCCTTGGCAAAAAGGTCTGGCCCCACAGATGGCTTTCAGCAGCCCCATGGCTGTGGGGGTCACCCCCAGCAGGGCACTGGCCGTGGGCACAGAGGCCACGAGCCCATGGCAGCAAAGCTCGGTGGCCAGGGCTGCTCTCCCAAACACGCCCGTGGGCACAGCCAGGCACAAGCAGCTCGGCTCACTTTGGCTGTTTCCAAATCAAACAGCCTCAGCTGCCACCAGCACTCTGACATCTGCTGCTGTGCCCCAAGGCAGCTCTCCAGGTGGCCCTGACACAGCTCTGCTGGCCACAGGGAACGCTGGCATTGCCACCCCCAGAGCAGATGGAGAGGTGGGAAGGGAGAACAGCTCTTGGTCTGAGGGACACTCTGGAGCCTTGGGGACACCAGCTTGGACAGGAACCTCTCCAACCCCCAACCTGGACCACAGTGAGTAGACATCCCATGGGGGTCTGCATGTGGGGGAGAAGCAAAGCCTTGCTCAGAATTCAGAAAAAGGCATCTAAAACTATTTTTTCAATGTCAAAATTATTTTCTTGGTGCCTGCAATTTTTTCTATGTCAATAATATTTTCTGCAGGAATTGGCACTTTCTCTTTGCTAAATCAGCTTCTGAAAGCGATTCCTCTTCCTGGCAATTTAGCAGTTGCTTTTATTGATGTTACATTTCTTCACTCCAAGAGGAGGAAGCACATAAAAGAGTGCACTGAACGTGGCTCATGGCAACATTTGCTGCTTTTCCTTTTGCCACACATCCTGGTTTTTCCTGCAGCCTCTGGCACCAGGATATAGCAGCAGCAGCTGTCTGTGGAGTTAATTTAGGGAGCCAGGGAGGAAAAGAACCTGCCTTCCCATTGCTCTCAGCAGAGGATGATTAGTCAGAGTCCTCCACAAATCCCCTGTGAGGCAGGAGCTGCCTGGAAACCCGAGAGACACTGCTTCAAGAGATGCAATTGAGAGCAACAAGGCTGCTGAAGGTTTAATCTGTCTGGGTTTTGGGCAGATGTGTTGCAGTTAATTAGGGGATTTTTCTGTTGATTGAAGCTGAATCATATTTCAGAAAGTCAGATTTAGTTTTAAAATTGCAGTTCTGTTTGGGATAGGAATGCTGCTGTCTGCCCATCACTAAATGTATATTTTTTTCTGTAGTGTGTCACTATTCAGTTTGTCTCTTTCAGTTTTGCTTCTGCTTGTCTTTATTCTGTCTCTCATGCCCTCCACATCTCTCTGATCCCAAGTCACACATTCCTCTGGTATTTTATCTCCCCCTCCCCTGTGATCTCATGTTCCTGGTGGTCTCCACTGATCCAGCCCCACTTCTGGTGCTCCCTCATTCCTTTCTCTCTGGAAAATATCTTTTTCAGCCATGTAAAGCCAATTCTGCTGCTTCTCCAGCCTCTCTTGTCCCCCCAGCCCTGCTCACCAGGTATCCCCTCCTGCCATCCTGCCCTGCCTTGGGCAGCTGTGCCAGTGCCTCAACTGCTTTCTTCTCTCCTCCTAAAAAAAGATGTTTGGGGTTTTTTTAATGAAAAAAAACAAAAACAAAAACAAAAACCCATAAAATTAGCTAATTTTAACTGACAAAAAGCCACATAAAGGCTGTTCCCAGCTGGAAGAATTCTACACAAAAAGAGTTCAGTTTATAAAAACTTGTTTTATATTCCTGATGAATCAAATATTCAGCCAAGTGCTTTTGCAGGGAAAGAAGCTTGTGAAGGGATTATGCCTAAGGAATATAAGAGCAGGAGCCACCAGAGTGGCATCTCACTAGCCTGGGGCAGGAAATCCAGAGGGCAAATCCAATGTTTGGTGAAGTTTCATATGCAGCTCCTCCTTGTGGCACCATCTCTGACCTGGAGGCTCAACCTCAGCCAGCTCTTCATAGTCCAGTCTTTGAAATACCAGGGGGCTTTCTTATTTGAGAATTGTTCAGAACATTTCCCCCTCTCACCTGAGACAACTGAATGTGTTTTATCCCCTAAATACCTGGGTTCACATGACAGGACAAGCCATGGCAAAAAGCAAACCCGAATCTTTGATCTGACTGTCAGTGGTGAGGATTCCTTTGGGATCAGAATGATGCTGGGATGAAGGAACCCTCCTCCAGTGGCCTGCTTCAAGCAGGCATTCCTCCCCTCCCCTATAAAGCTTTACCTGATTACTATTTCTTTTCCTCCAGTACCTCTCCTAGTTCAAGTGATTATTTTCCCAATGTGAGTAGAACTTGGGTGTAAAGTGGTCCACAGAGGTTATGCAGAGCTTTATAATTCCTTCTGTTTCAAAGAAAGCAACTAAAATGGCAGATTAGAACTCAGTATAGGAGTCAGACAGTCTCAGAGCTGGAACCTGGTGCCTGATACCCTGTGGAGGTGCAGGGAGGAAAGCAAGTTGCTACACCAGAAAGTAAACGCTGGTAATTTGATGCAGAATTTTAAACTGAATCCTTAGCCAGATGATAAAGTTCTTGAGGTTTTTGGTGAAGACTATCCTGTATTTATATAAATCATTGAAACATCAGGTTTTGCTGTGCCAGGAGTGAGGATTTGTTAGGAGCTGGGGGCAGAGTGAAGGCAATTTGCTGGCTGTGGTCACAGCACTGGATGATTGCAGTCATCACTAAATGCATGCCAGGGGCACAATCCATGCCTTGAGAAGCCCCTTCTCTCATCTCTGATCACTTCAGTGTCTGTAGTAACAATGCCAGGACCAGAACCACTGGGAAACACAGAGAAATCAGGAAATAAACTCAAAATGTTTGAGTCTGTACTGATGTCATTCAGCAGTGAACTAGGAGAGAAGTGAATGAACAACACCCTGTTGGGATTCATCTCATCCCACCACAGCTGTCCAAAGTGTAGATGTGTAAGCTCAGGCAGCAGCACAGCCTTCCTCTGAGGCTGCAGGGAGGATTTGGTGCTACAGTTTGGTCCCTCTGGAGGGACTGGTGGGACATTCCAGCTGAGCCTGGGAGGGCAATTCCAGTCCCTGAATAGAGCAACATCCCAGACATCCCTGAGGATCCAAGGCAGAGCTGGCAGACATGAGACCTACAGGAGGTCAGTGCCTTTCTTGAGAGCCATCTGAGGCTCAAGCAGGGCAGACTAAGATGCTGGATGATTTATTTTTAGACTTTTGGGGTTTGGGCTACATTTCAGAGTGCTGGCCTTCTGCTGCTGTGAGTGGATGCATGTGGCCAGGGATGCTGGGCACTGTGGCACACTGTCCATGGGTTGGAGCCCATAAAGCACATATTACAGAAATTGTCTTTTTTCTTACCTTGCAGCTTTCCAGAAACTTAGTGGCACAGTTTGGATAACAAACATGGAATACTCTCCAGGCTTTAGCAATAACAGCAGTGAGGAAAATCAAACCTTTGCACGGCTCTTTGTTGATGAAGTAAGTGGTGAAGAAGGATGTGACCTATTACCTGTCTCAATAAAACCCTGTGTATGTCTTTTTCCCCCAAAGCCTGTATAACTCACGTGTGTCCCTTGACACACCTGTAAGGTTTGGCTTCCCCTGACTGCCTGAGGCTGCAGGATGAGTGTGCAGCTGTGTTTTAGAGGAAGATCAGGATTTTGGGATTCTCTGGTACCTCCATGTCCTCTCCTGCTTCTGCCTAGTTATAGTGAATTATTGATCTCCTCCAGGGGTGTGGTGGAAAGTTAATGGAACCAGCAAAGTGCTCTGATACCCTTGCCCTGAACAGCACTATCCTAATTAGCTGTATGATTGTTATTATCCTTTGTAGCAGTACCTCAAGGCTGACAGTTCTTGTAATCATCCTGGATTTTGTAGCTCCATATCTGGAAAGGGAGTGGCTTCATGAAAAGTCACCTCTGCCGTCACTTCTAATCAGAGTGCAGGATATCAAAGCACAACATGATATCTGCTGTGCCTTTAACCCTCTCAGCATTCTGGGGTGTTGCCTTTTACAGTATCTAATATTGCAGGGAATTTGCCAAAAGTTTGTTCCTTCTGGTTCTCCCTCCAACACACCCATGCCTGGAAATCCACTGGTTATGATGGGCTGCTTTATTGGCTCCTTTACCTCCCCTTCACTGTCTGTGTTTTCAAAGGCTTTGATAAGTGTGGTGATAAATCCATCACTGGCAATTTGATGGATTTTTCAAATCCTGCAGAGGCCTCCCAAGACTTCCTGGGGACAGAGTCACCACTGGAACACAGCTGGCACAGGGGCACAGGCCAGGCCAGCCTGGGGTCACAGACAACTGCAGGGAGGGAAGAGGGTGATCCATTTATCCTTCTTGCACATCAAATCAGTTTCCCACTGCTCACGACTGGTTTGCACCTTTCCGGGTGTGTTAGCAGAGCACTGGCTTTCCTGGAGCTGTTTTGGCCCCAAGCTGTCACATCAGAAAAACTGTGACAAAACGAGAGTGATGTGATTAGCAAAGTGAAAAGGGAGCAATTCTCCACTGACCTCTCTGTCATTCAGCACCACGCTCTGCCCGAGGCTATTTCAGAGCAGCACAGTATTGAAATGGACTGAAATGAATGTATTTCCTTCATTCAGTCAGATATCTCAGTCCAGAAAATCACGGGTACTCATGTATTTAGGAAAAATTGCAAAATGGTTACTTAAAGGAACAAAATGAAGTTTTCTCTTGGTTTTACTTGGGTCTCAAATTTTCATGCAGAAAATGATCATTTGGGATTATAAGGAACTAACTCCTTTTCCCAGCACTCTGGTTTTGTGGATCAGCTGGAGAGATGTGTTAGTGTTGATTCCTTCCACCTCTGAGCCACTGTAAATGGGCTATAATTGCATAGCTGCTGTAAATAATATTATAAATATTGTATTTCTAGATGCCAAAGAAAATTTAGGAGACCAGAAAGATCTGTATATTTTCTTTTTAGGTTATGAGGACCAGAAATGGATCTTTTAAAGTAAATGAGGAAAGTTTTATGAGCTTTAAAAGCACTCTCAGGTTCCAGTTAAATACAGTTTGCCAAACATTTTTTTAAACCTCTTTGGAGTCATAATCTACAATTCAGAGGATTTATATATCCTAATGTGTATAATGTTCTTAAGCCCCAGCACTTAAGTGCCATGTGGTTAAATTGGCAGCACAGCAAATGGAAATATCATCCTTTAAATTATGAGAAGGAGGTAAAAACTTGATGTGACAACCTGCACTATCATTGTTCAGGCCAGTTCCACCACCTTTCTAGTAATGCAACTTAAAAACAACATAGCTAAAGGCAAAAAAGGATTCAAGTCCTGGGGTTTGTTCAGCTTGTGTTTTACAACACCCCAGTTTGTGTTTTACGACATCCTCAACAAAATCAGTTGGGAAAGCAAAAGGTTTGAGTTGAAAATACATTCACTGAAGTGCAATAAATTCCCAAGTGGAAAGTTTGTTTTGGATTTGGGTGTCTTAAAGTTAGCTGAATGACAAAAAGTGTGAAACTAATAAATGATAATGCCTTATGGGCGACCCCCTCATTTGGAAGGCACATGGCCTGTGTTTGTGTAGCTGGAAGCACCTGAAATGAATGCAGTTGAAGCTATATGAATGTGGAATGAGTATAGGAACAGGGATTAAGGAATTTTCGCTATTCCAGTGTAATTTCACCCTTTTGTTAATTTGAGTTTATCCAACTCCACATCCTGGAAGCTGCTGGTGATGGTGGCTGTGCAGATGTGTGCTCTGGTACCTTCTCCCTGAAGGTGCAGCCAAACCACACACAGTGGGGATAAATCCATCACTGGCAATTTGTTGTTTTTTTTTTTTTTTTTGAGTTTTTTGTTGTTTTTTTTTTCTCTGAGTGAAAAAACAGTCTTCAAACAATATTCTATTCAAATTACTGTACCTTTTACTTATTTATTCCCAGTTTCCAGACTGTCAGTAGTGCATTTCCTGTTTAGGTTTTCTTTGTGTGATATAGAAATTGCAGATATGACAGTCCAGGAGGTAATTTCTCTTGTAAGAACTCCCCATATTAAAGGGTATTGTATGTTGAATATTTTTTTTCCAAAAAGTTCTGTCCCTCCCCTTTTTTTTTTTTTTTTTTTTTTTTTTCCTAGCCCTGCTTCATCAAGCGTTGCTTTGATAACCCAGGGTGTGGTACCTGTTGGGAAATCCTGGAGTCTCTTGGATAAAGGGTTTTGTAGTGTCACCTAGTGGCTAAATACAAATACTGTGAATGTGCCCTGACACTATTCAAGCTCTGGGTCCTGATTTGGGAGGAAAAATAGGAACAAGAACAAAACAAACAAACAAACAAAACTGTAGCCAGGTGGGGGTCAAGCTCCAGTCACAGGGAACAAGTGACAGGACAGGAGAAATTGGCCTCAAGCTGCTCCAGGGGAGGTTCAGGTTGGACATCAGGAGGAATTTCCCCACAAAAAGGGTGCTCAGGCCTTGGAACTGCCCAGGGAGGTTTGGAGTCCCCATCCCTGGAGGTATCCAAGGAAGGTCTGGAGGTGGCACTCAGTGCTCTGGGCTGGGGACAGGGTGGGGATCTGTCAAAAGTTGGACTTGATGATCTCAGAGGTCTTTTCCAACCTCAGTGATTCTGTGTTTCTGTGAAAAAAGAAGAATCAAATTTTCAGATAAGGAAAGAGGATGAAACCAGGATAGGCTAAGAGGATATCACAGGTGTCTTGTGTTTAATGTTGAGAAGTTCGGACAGAAATTATGAGAGCTGAAAACTTAGGTCTGACCTCCAACTTTTCAGTACCTGCTTGTGAAACAGCAGGAAGAGAGAGCAGAAGGAGCCCAAGAGACCCTGTCTTGGTGAAATGGGAGGATTTTGGGCTCTGACAAGGACAGTTTATGTTCTGCCCAGGTGTTGACAGGGGAGCCATCTGCCTCCATCCTCCCAGCTCTGCCTGAGTGCTCCATGGGGCACTCCCAGGTTTGCTGTGTGGCACTTGCAGGCACAAGGCAGCCGTTCCCAGGGGCACACAGGGGGTTTGCTCTGTGCCACGTTGCCTTGGCACCCAGCACGAGAACCACACCAGCTCTGGGGACTCAGGAAAGGGCTGCAGGACACCTGCAAGTCCTGGGACCATCTGCAGGGCTGGGAAACAGACAGTGGGGAAGTCAGGGCTGGGTAGTGCACAGCAGGCAGGGCACAAGGCTGTGCAAAAGCTGTGAGAATCCAGCACTAAAAGCACCAGCTCTGAGCGTGGGTGCAAGGCAAACAAGGCTTCTCCTGGTGGCTCCCAGTGCTTGCCTCTTCCCTGGGCTCTCCCTGGTGGGAATCACTGCTGGCATCCCTAAGCAATACACACTGAAATAAACTGTGCCTAAACTCATGGCTGAAATCCAGCCCTGCTGCTCCAGATATTCCCTGCAGGAATCAGGGAGAGGAAAAAGCAGCTGGAGGTGGCCACAGTCACCTGGCCCCTTAATCCCCTGCTCTGGGCATTTAGAAAGAGGTGGGTTTTGCTTGGCTCTGGTGAGAAATCAGCTGCAAAGCAAAGCCTGAAGGTCACCTGCTCAAAGTTGTAATGTTCCTGGGCTGAGAGAGCCTCTGAGCAGTGTGGAGTGTCAGGGGGTTTTCCACTTCCAGCAACAATTCCTTGTATTGGACTGGAATTCCTTGTGTTGGATTGGAATTCCTTGGGTTACCCCTCTCCCCAGAGGCATTATGAGAGGTAGAACGTGGGAGCTTCCCTGCAGTCTCCTCCCTCCCTCTCCGTTACCAGAGGCAAGGGCTTGTGCCAAATGACAGACGAGATATCTTAATCGCTTGGCTCGTTTAATATTCGTGGTTAAATGTGCACCACATCCTTCAGCTGCTCTGGATTGAAAATGTTACAAAGCAAAAGGTCAATTTTCTGCTGCTTTCCTCCAGAGCAGGAAGCACAACACTGATTTCTGAGCAGTGTACACAGCCTGAAATATAATTGCTCCATCTGCCCATCCCCACACACATTTTGTTTTTATTCCAGGTGCAGAAATCTCTGCCCCTTGAGGTGCTCCAGCAGATGGATGCTGGTCTGATCAAAGTGCTGGTAACGGGTGTTACTAATGGGAGCACAGTGGTAAGTTTCAATTTGCTGCTTGCAGAAGAAGTGGATGTCCACCACGTCATCACCACTTTTTGTGAGGCCTTGGAAAACAGCTCCTCCTTCACCGTGGACAGGAGCAGCCTCTCCATACACGGTGAGGAGCAGCTTGTGCCCCAGTAATTCTTCAGAACCAGACAGATGATGAAAGCAATTATTAATCTGTGTCTTCTGAGGTGAAAATACCTGTAAAACACACGGATGAAAAGCCTTTCTCTCTCCTTATATTGCTCCTGCTTATCCATCAGTAAGTTTTTCAGAGAACACCCACAGATGACATAGGAAGTGAGGAACCACTGATCCAAAAGGACAAGACCAACTGGTCTTTTTGACAATGTCTAGAACCAGTTTTACAGAGAAAAAGGTAAGGAGATGTTAGAGGTTATGGATTGAGGGATTTATAAGCTACCAGTGGAAATGAGTCCCTGAACACAGTCATAACTAGCACTTTTTAAAAGAATTTAAAAACACATTACACTCTACTTTGCACTAATAATTTTTCCCTGAAATAGAAGTAAATAGAAATTAATAGAAATAAATGAATATGTGAGTTCTTCTTCAGTGGGAGTAGTTGTTTTCCTCACACACCTGTGGATCTGGAGCTCAGGTGGAAGCCCACACTTTGCCAAGGCCAGCATGATGGCTGATTGTACAACTTCTTTTCTTATATATGTAATTGGAGTAAGTAACAAAAACCATTAATCTCCTGACTAAGAGCAGCTGAAGTCACAAGTCACCTCTGAAAAAAAAAAAAAAACAACAAAAAACCCCAAATACTGTGTCCCTGACACAATCCATTTGTCCAAAGAAGGTTGCTATAACCTGTCAATTCGAATCTCATGCAAAAATACTCCAGAAACATATTTATTCTCTGCTGTATAATTTTTTTGTCTGTTACACTCACAGCTGTAAATCTGGAAAGTTACATATCCTGGTAATTACTAGGATCAGAACTATCTTGTGGTAGTGCTTTGTAGAGTGGCTGCCCCCCTCAAACCTGGGCTAAAACAAAGGGTTTGTTTCAGGGACAGGTTCCCACAGAGCAGGTGGCTGGTGCTGCTTTCTGAGTACCACCTATGGTCTGGTTTGCTCTGGTTTTTAGACTTTGGAAAGAGAAAGAGAAGTAAAAGCATGTTTTTTTTCTCTAAAAAATGAAAATTTTGGCCAGGTAAACATTAAGACAGCAACTAGACTACAACCTGGACCAGTGACACAAGCCTTCTGCTTCACTCATGCTGGGCATTTACTCAGCATCTCCTCAGAACTGTGAAATGGGGGAAAAACTAAGGAGGCCCCTGGGGTTAGAAGCATCCCCTTGGGCAGTGGATCACTTTGGGAGTGGGAATGTACTATATTAATATTTAATGCCATAAGTTCTTTTAAGAGTTCTGTTTCTCATATTTGCCACAAAAATTAGACAGGATTGTCAAGATTCTTAATGATTTTCATTAGCAGTAAAAGAGGGGACAGAAGAGGTAATAGAGAAAGTAACAGAAAATACTTGATAGGTATGGCAATACCTGTATGGCAAATGCTGGAAATGCTGAGGAAATGCTGATATTACAAACTGTACTTTTCTATGAGCTGATTCATCTGGCTTCTCTCTTTCCTCAGGTCGTTTGTTAGCTGATGTATGATGGGTCTTCTTTAATATCCTAAATTCTCTTAAGCTTCTTCAGTAATTTATATTTGGTTTTGTAACCACAATGATAAGGAACATTTCTTACAGAAGGCACAATGATTTGTCAATTGATAACAACATTTGTTTAGTTTTAACTAAGATATTTATGTGATTATAAGCTTTTGGGAAATCCAGCTCTGGAAGAGCTCCAACTTTTATTTTCCTTCCTTTATTGTGCAAATCAGTGGTTTTTTCATTTGGGGCATTTCTGGAAGCTGGGCAGTTCCGTAAGGATTTATATATTTGTACAGATTTTATATATTGCTTGGGAAATAGGTGGTATTTTTATGTTTTAACCACTAAAATTATTTAAGAGCAGTTTTGTGCAGTGAGACACATTGTTTGTGCTTCCCTACAAATGGAGTTCATTGTCTTGATTCTCTCTCAGTCAGAGGTGGGTGAATACTCAGGATGTAACCCCAGACCTGTGCTGGATGTTGGGTGTTTGAGACACATTGATCTGAACCTGTGCTTCCCTTTTCCCCCACATTTTTATTCCTGGAACCATTACAGATTGCCTCTGACACATTTATTCCTCTCTCTCAGGACACACCTGCAATATGGGGCTGCCACATGAGGTTTGTCCCATGCATCCCCCAAAATGAGTTTTCCAAAGCACTTAAGGTCCCATCTTTTGGGCAGTATCTGGTCACAAATGAAGCCTGTGCTTTTTTGTCAAACTCCCAGTGTTTTTATCAAATCCTGGTGATGCCCCCAGCCAGAACTGGGCAGTCTCCTACAGCTCCAGGCAAAAACATACAAGCACTTGCTGAGCAGCTTCCAGTGGGGAATATTGTACAAGCACTGATCTTCCAAAAGCTGCATGTACATGTGTCACACACTGATTACTGCAGCTGCCAGGAAATAAAGCACTTCAGCTTTACTGATGGGCACTTATGTGTCTCATGGGCTCCTTTCTAAAAAAAGCCCCAGCTTTTGCAGTAAGTAGAGCAGGTTATAAGAACAAAAGAAGCTGGTTTCCTGCCAGTAACTGTGAGTTTCCTCCTAAGAGTTTGCTTTTGCCTAATGAGACCAATCTCAACATGTAAATTACAACAGTACCTTTATTTTTGGCACTCTTCAGCACTTCCCTCCACCCAGAAGGCAACAGTGACGGATAAGAAACCTGTGAACAGCACAATTTTACCTGTGACATCTCTGCAAAATTCAGCTCATGTCTCCTCCCCTGCTTCACTGGACTTCTCTCCTGCTGAGCACAAAGCTCTGGAGGACACCATGTTCTCCAGCACAGTGCTGAGTCCTCTCCCCACGGATCCCATGGCAACTCCAGATATTTCTCCTCGAGCATCTCCAGCCCCCCTGGTCAAACCTGCCCAAGAGGTTTCCCTTAAAGACGCTGTGAGTGTGTTCTGTGAGATTGAGAGGATCGTCCTTGCCATCCAGAAGAGATTCTTGCAGCAGGAGTCTATCCCAGAGAGTTCTCTGTTCCTGGGGGAGCCTGGCTGCAATGTGAGCACCAGCAATGGCACCCACGTTGTGCTGCAGGCAGGCTGGAGCGCCTGTGGCACCCAAGTTGAGACTGTAAGTCCTCTGATCAAGGGAATGCCAGCAAGCTCTGGAACACTTTATTTCTCTCTCAGGAGTGGAGAGGCAGTGGCAGATCCTTAGCTAGGTGTACAGTCTATTAGCTGCTGAACGTCTGTTGGAGAAAGAAATCCCTGTCCTGTGATGGAAAGTTGCCTCAGTGTGTGATGGGAAGCACCAAAGAGAAGGGGAACGAATCTTTGAGGTCAGGCAGCAAAACTCATGAGCCTGTCCAAACTGAGAGTCATCTCCCATGCCTCTTCTGGGTTCCCTTTGCAGCTCTCTTTTCTTAAAAGTAATTTCATCATCCCATGCTGAAAAATACTTCAATAGCTACCAGTGGTGGGGACAAAGAGTGACAGCTCTCTTTGGATCCCAAACCAATGTTCAGACCATGCCAAAGTACAGAAACTCCCTTCTGGAGCAATGACCATTGCTAAGGAATGATCATTGTCCCATCCTTGGAATTGTTCAAGACCAGGTTAGATGGGGCTATGGGCAGCCTGGTTTAGTGGAAAGTGTTCTTGCCCATAGCAGAGGGTTTGGAACTTAATGATTTTTAAAATCCCTTCCAACCAAAGCTGTTGGTGGAGTTCTGTGATTCTATGATATGACAAAAAGGAAAAGAAGGAAGACTGGTGTATTTTCTTTGCCTCCCTGTACAGCAATAAAGATACTGGAGCTTTAATCTGTTTGATTTTTGCTGTCAGGAGAATGAGGAACACCCAAGCACCTGAAACTGGAAAGCTCTGGTACAAGCCTGGAAACACTGACGTGTTTTCTCCTTTCTGTGCTGCAGAACATGACTACTACTGTGGTGAGAACCACCCTTCGGAATGATGCTTCTGCTCAGGGAATAATCCACCACTTGAACGTTGCCAGTCCCATCCACTGTGTGTTTCAAAACCATGTCTTGACTTCCTCTGGGTACACTGCAGAAGGGTGAGGAACAACTCTCTCTGCTTTGAAATTCTGCTGTGTGGCTGAGTGCTGCTGCACTGGGAAAGCCCCCAGGGGCTGTAGCTGTATCCAGAGGCAGCACTGGGAGCAGTCTGCCATCCTGGGAGTCCTGTGCTCAGAATGATGCCTTAAGTTTTGGCTTTTATATTTTTCAGATCCTGTACTGCATTAGTGTATAACTCTGAACTCCATATAGAGTGTTTGTAAGCTCTCTTCACAGTGTGGTCAGACAAAACAATCCTTCCAGGCCTGAGAACCAAGGTCATCATCACATCCTCAGGCCTGAAAAGTATAAACAAAAGTGAATTGGGGGGAAGCAAACCAGGGAAATGTGATTTCATTACCTGGACAATTAACCTCTCATATGCAAACAGACCACACTTGTATCTGCCCAAAAAACTCATGACCCTCATCCATCTTGGCTGTAGCCTCTGCCAGGCTCCTGCACAGCCCAAGGTGTATCTGTTAAAGGCCTTTAATAAATATCCACTTTATTCTCTAACTCTGTCTAGCCTCTGCTCTAGGTAGCCAGTCCAAGGCATCAAGGAGATCCCTGCTGTGTGCTTCTCTCCTACTCCAACTTTGTGCCAGTAGATCCAACAAGCTTGGATCATTTACCTGGCTAAACCACAGGTGGAAATAAACCTTTGGGAACGGCAGGTTCAGGGGTCAGAATTCCTGTTCTCCTCATTGCCTTCCTGGGCAATCCCTTGTAGCAATAACAGCATTTTTCTGCTTTTGGAGCACATCAATTGTTTATCTTTCCACCTGATGTGGGCCTGTAGATTGCTATGTGGCTTCTGAGAATGACAGTTTTTAACCCCCACAAATCCTTATTTGGTCAACTCGAAAAACCAGAAGATACATCATGCAAATACTTTTTTTTGTTGTGGAAGCCCCACCTTCAAATAAGATGGAATCAAATCCACACTTCCCAGAAAATCAAGGCTGTGCTGACAGAAAATGTGACAGCACAAGCCTTTCTGTCATGGGGAGTGCCCTCCCTTCATACAAGTGCACCTCCTCTCCTGCCTATCATCCTGCTTAAACTATTGGCACCAAATCCAGTTCCTGTTTCCTAGCCCTGTCCAGAGATTGTATTTTCCTTCCTATTCCCCAGCAAAGTCTTTGTCAGGCCACTTTTCTTTGAGCTCTATAATTTTCTCATGCCTTTCACTTTCTGTTCAGATTTTCCCTGTCTCATTTTCTTGGCTCTTTTCTGCACCAAGCTTTTACTGTCCTTATTTTGAGCTCTCAGAGAGCTCATAGCCTTGTTCCCCTTCTGCTCCACACTGGTATTTCTCTCTGCCCTGTTTGAATTGCTGAGACACCCTTTGGATTTTCCCACTTTTGTTTCCATTCTCTCTACCTTTCCAGCTGAAAACTCAATGCTTTTTCACCCTTCCTTTTGAACAGTGTCCTGCACTCCTGGACTGCAGATTTTAAATATGTGGGGAAACAGGCACTGATTTAAGACTTGCAAAAACTTACAGTCAACTTTGTGGTCTTTAAAGAAGGATAATTGATTTTTCAGACCTTACACCATCTTTGAGGATTTGCATGGATCTGGATACTTCAGAACAGAAATGCAATTGTTTATTGGAAACTCCCCAGTCCCCAAAAATTTCAGCGTCTCTGCCAGTGAGGATGTGCTGATCGAAGTGGGGATGCAGAAGGCAGACAGCCAGCTCAAGGTGGTTCTCACTGACTGCTGGGCCACTCCAACCAATAATTCAATGGATCCCCTGGCATTTGTTTTTATCAGCAACAGGTACAGCAATGCCATTTGCAAATACCATGAGCCATGCCTTAGGTCTCACAGTGGTACTGACTAATAATGTGTTATATTTTAAATGACTTTTACATGTGTTCTCATCATTCACATGCACCGTCCCTTTCTATCTGGCCTGGTTGCACCTTCTTTGAATAAGAAAGGTAGATATGAAAAGGGATTTCAAAGGGCTATGTGAAAGTTTTTTGGGTTTGGTTGTCTTCCTTCCAGTTTTGTGAGGGAATTGTGCTTTCAACCTGAAGAAATCAACTTGAAGGTGATTTTGGCAGTCACTAGTGAAAGAGCATTTGAGAAGTGGGTGCTTTATCTCCTACTCTATGGTTCAGAGGTTTCTCTGTGGTTTCAGCTTTATCAAGAGCTTATGTGCCTCTTGTCAACAAAGAAATAGGTTATTTAATTCCTCACACGTGATAATAGAGCAGCCTCTGGTGAAAGAGGAGGTTTGTTCCTGTCTGGATTCCTGCTCTCACCCCAATGTCATATTTCTTAGGCTCACCTTAAAATGCAGGTTAATCATTTTGCTCAGTAACAAAATCTAGTCCTTTAAGTTTGAGGTTTTTTCCAATTTGTGTTTGGTGAAGCCAAGTTTAAATCCTTCTTTCTGCTACTCTTTCCCTCCTTCTCCAGCTCTCCAGCCACTTCTCACAGCTCCTGTTCCACTTGGTTACTGTGGGAATAAAGCAGCAAACAGCCCCTTATCACCACTGCACTGCCAGAGCTGCTTCATGAAGGGTCTGGCTGTGACTTCCTAAAGGAAGGAAAACCTTAAGACCCAAATTCTGTGCTATAACCAAAACCTGCCTTCTCTAGCCTTAGCTGCTCTGTTTGGTTTTTGTCTCCCTTTTCAGCTGTCCCATCCCAAATACTTACACCACGCTGCTGGAAAATGGGAATTCAAGCAAAGCTCAGTTTAAGATGAAAATTTTTTCCTTTGTCAACAACTCTGTGGTTTACTTACACTGCAGAATTCATATTTGTATGGAGTCACCAGGAAGCACCTGCAGGACTGTAAGTGATTTGCTCTGATATGCTATTTCCCCCCCCCAAGAAATTTTTTTTTTTCTCAGTGCTATATGGAGTCCTGCAGTGGGATGGAAGGAGTAATGTTTTCAAACAAGGTTTAAAATAACTCTAGAGGTTTCTTTTGTTCTCTGCTGAGAGCAGAGAGGAGTGGGGAAACACTACAACCATATGGAAGCATCAGCTTTTCCTCCTGTGCCTCATCCTCCTAGAAAAAGGATGGAGCTTGCACAGAGCTGGGGAACCTGAGAACTGGACCTTTCACTCATTTTAAGGATGACTAAAAAGCCATGGAATTAGGCTGGGTAGAAGAGTGTCAGCTCAGATGGATGTGTCACAAAATAGGAACTCCCAGAGTAGCAGTGTCAGAAGAATGTCTGAGTAAATTTATATATTTTTCTGTCCTTTTTTTTCCTTATCTCATACAGATTTACTTCTTCAACAGAGAGTTTAGGTGCCAGGAAAGGAAACTCAGTGTCATTAAGTTTCTAGGGCTGTGACTTTAATAGAGATTATTATGGCTTTTTAAAGCCCGATTGCTTTTCAAAGCAATAATCCAAGGCATGTTCTGATAAGAACTGCAGTTTTTAATTGTCTTTGTTACAAAGCATTGCATTGTTTCTTTTTACTTGCAAGTAAGTGATACACAGCTTTATCTAAAAATCTGTTGCTACCATAGAAATAAGGAAAAATATGTTTAACTGGTGGCTTTTTTTCTTACTAGCAGACACTTGGGAATTCTCCTCTTCCTCTGCCAACCTTCCTGGCTCTTTTTCTATCAAGGATGTTTTCATTAGCAGTTTGGTGTTCCCCCATTGTTTAACACTTTCCTCTAGCTCTAAATAAAACAGTTTAAACTCATTATAAAGCAAATGATCTCTTCCTAAAGGATTTTAAAAGGCTACCAGAAGATGCTTGTTTCCTTTCTCAAAGTATAAGGCTTCCTCCAGATTAAAAACAAACAAACAAAAAAAAAAGTAGGGACAGGAAGCAGGACTGACAATGGTAACATGGCTGCAGTTTTGCAGCTGAGTATGAATATAAATATACATAGGATGCATTGTTCTTTCTCCTATGCAAAATTTACCCCTATGAGAAGTCAGTGAATTCAGTATTTTCGATTGATGCTAAATTGTGATGTGGGGAAGACAAGCACCAGGCACATCTACACAGGGTGAGCAATGGCTTTTGCAAAGAAGAGAGGAGGAGCTGCAGAAAGTGCAAAGATCAAGGAAGATGAGCAAGAACAGAGGATATTTGTAAATAATGTAAGATGGCTGGGAAAGTGCTCTGGGTCTGGGATCTGACCCTCTGATCTGTTACTCTGGGGAATAGTGACTTGCTTCAGGGCAGGTTTAGCTGAGCTTTTCACCCACACACTCAATATTTACATCTTGGATTATTTCTTCTTACTCAGTCTATTTATTCCTTGTTTTATCTGTGGAAGAGAGTAAAGTGCTCTAAAGGTTAGAGCTGAAAAAAATGGACTGGCTGAGGAGAAAAGCAGTAAGAAATGAGTAGGAAAAATTACTTTGAATGGGAAGAGGAGTGATGTGCCACCACCATGCAGATGTTTGGTGAAATGTGGCTGCTCCATGGCCACGTGGAACCAAAAATTCATTGCCACCAAGGAGCAACTACATAAATGTGTTCTCTAACAGATTCAGCTACCTGGGAAAGCTACTTGAGAGCAGACCAAAGTCATAAATAACCACATGGGTGTTTTTCTGGGTGCTGACCCAGCTGAAGACACTGCTGCTGGCAGTGGATTGTAGAGGTTTTCCAGTGCAGCCAAACTGGTAACACTGATGGGACATTCTGGGGTAAACAAGCTGGTAAGACTCCCTGCTGATTTTGCTGGTCATGGTATGATGCTGCCACTTCTCTGGGGTTTTTTGTGCCCTTCCAGGAGAGCCAGTGTACCCTTTGAGTAATGTCAGTAGGTTTTGGTTCCCATCTGAGAGCTTTGGGCTGTGACTTAAAACTAAAAGGCAGCAAACAAAAACAAAAAAAAAGGAAGTGCACAGAAAATGTCTGTGCAAGTGCTGCTCACAACAGAGCAGCTGATCCCCAGCATCCCACAGGACAGGGATTTATTTCAGCCTTGTAGTTCCCAGATTAATGGTTCTCTTGTCACTGAAGCTGTGGGTAGATTCAGAATGGCACATGGCTAGGCAGAATCTGAAAGCTGCTGCTGCTTTTGCTGGTGCTGGTTGCAGCATCTGCTGTGCCTGCCACGGGCAGCACAAACATCCAAACAAAAGTGCTTGCAAAACCCTGGCATTAGTAATAAATTTATTGTCCCATAAGGTTTCTCTGAAACAAGCAGAAAGTGAAATGATTGTCTGTGTGAAATGTCTGTTCACAGCAGTGTGTTCCAGTGTGACTAATTACAGATTTTATACTGATTTTTCCCTGATGCCATTTCTTTTCGACTTCCTTTTGGTGCTAATTTCAGTTTAACAGAGCATAACATTAAGAAACAAAAGCTGGATGGTGAGAGTAGCCCTGGGCTTTCACAGGCTCATCAGAAGGTTCTGTATTTTGAGTTAGTAAGCCACTTGACTTGTTGGAGTTTGAATTGCAGAGGTGCCATGCGAGGGCTCGGCTCCTGAAGGCTGGAGAAACCATCGCCCTGCACAGAACATCCTGGGGACCCCTGTGTAAATCAGCTGGTGAGTTGAGAACAGACTGTCATGCCAGGATTATTTTGTGCTGGCAAAGGAACCCGAAGGCCTGTGACACACAGGGGTTTTGTGCCCCTCTGTATTCCTTGGGAGCAGGCAATCCTGCTGGAGCCACGTTGCAGCGTGGAGAAGCACGTGCCCTCCTCAGAGCAGGGACTGTCAGGTTGTCAAGGGAATGTAGAAAGGAAGATAAAGTGCTTTTGTGTGGCTGTTTGCACAGGGTAGCAAGTGCAACAACCACAAAATCAAACAATTATTTCAATTATAAGGTGTGAAAGCGGAGACGATTTTTCAGATTGCAATCGGTTTTCCAAGTGTTTACACCGCTGTTAGTCTGCAATTATTTTGGGGCTCTGAAGTCCCAAATCAGAGGATGTAAGAGATTTTATTGTTGTGTTTCCTTTGGCTCCCTGCTACTGACTTGATTACCGTGGTGAGGGGAAGTGGCAGAGCACAGCTGATGCCCAGCACCTTTGGTTAATTTGGTGCAGTGCAGGTTAATTGAGGGCAAACACCAGCACCAGGGACAAGCAAAGTCTCATTTGTTATGCACCTGCTTTTTCTGCATTTAACCTGAGTGATGCTTTCAAGGGCACCCTTGGTCTCTCATGTTTTCAGTCATTTGGCCCCCTCCAGCTTTACATTTATAACTTCAAATAAAACACTCATTGAGGGTGGTTTGCCTCACCAATACCAGAGTCTTAACTCGTGGCTGCCATAAACAAGACAGTTCATAATGTTCTTTTGGGCCTAAGAACTGACTCTGACTTAGAAGAATGTATTTTTCTCCCATTACATGGTCTGTTCAAATAGACCCTCAGTGCTCATTTCTGAATTAGTTCTTTAAAAAAAATATAAAGCAAATAATGCAGCTTTCTTTGTTTAGCTCTTACAACAAGTAGCTCTCGCTCCCATTTTTGCTGGAGATCCTGATTAATTTCTAATTTTGAAAAATGGTTATTTCCCTAAAGGACCCGTGGTGAGGGGAGCCTTCTCTGAGTTGTGCTAAATTGACTTCTAGGCAAAGGTGACACTTTTGAATGCTGTCTCTTATTTCTAGTTTGGATAATCACCCCACATTTTAAGTGATCTACATCTCTGTGTTGAAGGGGATAACATGAATGATGATGTCAGTAAGAACAGCTGTAAATGCTGCAGTGAAATATGAAAAACTTGACCTGCTCTGCCAACCCTTGATCATATGCTATGGCAAAGGCCACTGTTCCACATCCCCAGGAGGGCCTGCTCTGTGTCTGGCTACAGGCTGCCATTTCCACTCTTCATGTTCTACTTTATTCCTTTGTTTTATGCTGAAATTCAAAAATGAGACTGAATATATTACACAGCACTGCTTTGGCCTGTCTTGGAATGATGCCCTGGGTGTCTGTAGCTTGAGCACTGCTCTTACTGACCTTTGTGGCTGCCAGCAGTGCCCTTTGGCCAAAAACCTTGTCTCTAATTGCAGGTGTGTGTGCAGTGATATTTGTCTTCTGTGTACCTCAGGTACCACACAAGTGCTTGGCAAAACAAGTGCTGTCCTGAAAATGTAAGCAAACAAATGCAGGTTTTTGTAGGTGCATAGAGCCTTTGCAGGAAGGAATTATAAGACCTTGTACAAACATGAAGACAGACATAATAATACAGGGAGAGGGGTTTCTGCTTGCAGATTTGGACAAATATATGGAATGTTTCAAAGGGAACTAGGGGAACACTTTCTGTCTGTGATCTGAGGTGCCTTGGACATGTGGGACTTGACTCTTGCCCACACTGGGGCATTTGGGTCGTTCTTTGCTTCCCCTCTGAGTGTGGGTGCTCTTCCAGCAGAGCACAGGTCTCCTGCAGGTCCTATGCCCTGTCTGCCAGCCTTGTGCAGACATTGCAGACCTCAGGCTGCTCAGCTGGCTCCAATCACTGCTCAGGTGCAGCATTGAGCTCGTGGTGACCAAGCCAGTGTCACTCCACTGAGCCACATCTCTGCTGGCTCAGCTGGGAGCTTTGAGACCCAGCAGACACAGAGAATCCTTCCCCACATACTCTGTGTTTGAAGAACAGTTACATAGATGATAAAAGCAAATCAAGTCATTTTTATAATCATAGATGAATGGAGGCAGGATTAAGACAGGGGAATACTCCATCTCTAAAGTACTTCTGAAAGTAAGGCAGCATTTTAAAAAGTCACCAGTACTAATTCTTTAGTTCTTACTTTAGCTGAAAATCACACTCATGTCTGCAGGGACTCTGCACTGGTGTGTAAAAAGAGAACATGGTCTGTCCTCACACCCTTTTCATGAGAAGCACCCTCCCCAGAAGGCTGAGACACTTCTGTAGCACAGTTCTGTATTGGCATGTTGGCTAATTAACAGGCAGGGCTTGTTTCTCTCCACAGTCCAAGATTTAGGAATTTCAAGATTTTTTTCTTTCACCTTGAGGTTCCCTGAATTAAAACTTGCACATGACATCTCTGAGTCTCTCCACAGAGCAAGAATGGCTTCTCTTGCATTCATCATTCTGCTCTCCTGAGTAATACCTCATAGTAATGGGAATTCTGGAGTTGTGCAAAGATGCTGCAGCATAAAGGATCTTGTCAGGCTCATAACACTTCTGCATCATGATGGAGCCTCAGTTGATGGCTCCATTTTGGAGCTGGCACTACTCAGCTCTTCTTTCCTCTGTATCCACTGTCTTTGGAAGGGAGTTGATTGCCTGTCTCAATCCTGATTAATTTGGTTTATATTTTTTTATAGTGGGATCATGTCTCATCACATGGAGAACTGAAGTTTGTCCTCACTCAATATTTGCTTTCCTTGCTCTACACATCTTTCAAATTAATGTAATATATAAAAAGCCTCTATATCCCCTTTCTTCCCTGCACCTCTTTTTTCTTAGCAATCTGGTTCTTGCCTTTCTTTGTGACAACAGCTCCAGGCTGAAGTGAATTTTGGCAGTTTTTCCACTGATAAAATAGAAGGGAAGAAAACAAAAACATCTGGGTCTCTCTTTGAGTTTCAAGATCTGGTTTTCTCACTGTGGCAGATCACTATGTGCTCGTCTTAGCATCACTTGTGCCATTAATATTGTCAAGCTGCATGTTTCCATTGATATTCAAGGAAGTAAATCAGCAAACCCTCAGAGAGATCTCTTTTTCAGTCTGTAGTTTGCTGTTTGCTCAGGGTGAGGTTGAAACTTTGAGCTGCACCAGCGTTGAAGAGCTAACTGTGCAACGCCTTAGGTATACAGAAGCTGGGGAACAAGCATTGGACTTGCCACCAGGTAAGGAAAAGCCACTGTGGATCTGGGGCTTAACCTGCTCAGGGTGTTCTTCAGCAGGAGTTTTTAAGTTTGATTCATTCTGTAATTGACAAGGCTTCAGTGGAAAAGAAGGGGAAAAAAAAGAAGAAGTTATGTTTGTTGCTGGCAGCCCATGTTTTTCCAGATAAATCAGTTGGTGTCGGGGTCCGCTGTTATTTGTCTCTGCCCCGACACGGGAAAAGTGGTTCTGGGCGGCCGCGATTTCGAAGGATGAGTCTGGACTCTCAGATTTTCTGTCTTCAGTCTTGTTTATTAATTCTTATCTACAAAGTTTTCTCTCTGCCCAGCCGAGGTCCGCTCAGCAGGACAGTCAAGTGCACTCTCCCCCGCCCACAGGGCGGTTGTGTCCTTTATAGTGAAAATTATGTGTGACATTTTTACCTTTATTTCCCAATACTATTCACCCTTATAGACAAGTGTACCTTCACCATGAACCAATCCCCAAGTGCCAACATCACCACAGAAAATGGAAGACATGAAGAAGAAAGAAGAACACAGGACCACGCCCTGAATCTTCCATCTTGTCTTCATGACCCCCCTGTACCTATTTTTCTAAAATTTGTATCTCCTTCCGTAAATGTACCATTCACACCCAAGAAGCTCTCATTTCCTCATACACAGGTTCTTCTCCTTTTGATGGATCAAAGTCAAGCCACCAAACCCTTTTGGCAACATTCCAGGGTTTCCGAGCCCCCCAGGGGCTCCCCTGGTGTCTCTGCACATCCACAGTGGTGTGCTGAGATCCCACAAGTTGGTCCCTGTGTATTCAGCTCGGTTAGACCCTAATGGTTGTACAGTCAAGCCACACACTGCTGCCCACCTAAGTGAGAGCTCTCCAATTGCAAATGAAGAGTTCTAAATTTGACCTGAATTTTGCCTGGCCATGAGACCATCGGTGCAGCAGCACAGGCTCACTTTACACGGTCCATTGGGTACAACAACAGTCTGGTCAGCTGGATCAACTGGAGCTAAAATCTCTTCATGCAGTCAGCATCCCCTGCAGGGCTCTTTCCTGGGCTGCTCTTCTCTGCTGCCCCAAATCTCCACCTCAGTGAGTGTGTTGGAAGATGGGAGGTGAAGAGGTGTCAGTAACTTGTCCCACCAGCCCCTGGTTTTGCTGCAGTCACTCCTCCTACACAGTGATAATCTGCTGTGCCTGGGTCACATCTAACTTAGGAACTTATAAATAAATTCCTCCTTAAGCTCAATGGACACCATTATAAAGAACTCTTAGTGGAAAATGGTGCTTAGCTTGAAGTCATGAATGTTTCTAAGTAGTTATAGCACTGAGGTGCTGATTTTTGGGTACTGAATAGCATAGGAAAGTGGCTTTTCTATCCTCCTAGTCCAATTTCCATTAAGTAGTAAAATTACTGGGTAAAAGATTTCCACATTTTGCAAAAGGTTGTACTGATTTAGAGCTTTTATATATACCTATTAAATATATCACTAAATTTCAGAGTAATCATTTGCGTTCTGCTTTACATTCAAGTGACTCTGTAAGGAGTGAGACACTTTGACTTGTCTTTTCCTCATAGAAATAAGAGTTACCAGATCCTGATCTAAAAAAAAAAAAAAAAAATCCATTTAGTTGTAAGTGGTGAAACTATAAATTACCTTTTCAGTCTTAGTCTGATGAATGTGGAATCATAGAATGGTTTGGGTTGGAAGGGACCTTAAAGACCACCTAGCTCCAAGTCCCTGCCATGGGCAGGGAAACTTCCACTACCCCAGGGTGCTCAGCCTGGCTTTGGACACTTCCAGGGATGGGGAAGTGTCCAACTTCTTTGGACAACCATAACCATTAGTTCTTGTTGTGTAGGAGTCTCTTAACTTTTGCTCAGTTTGCTGTCAAATGTGTGATGTGTTTGCCTTCTGCACTCAGTGATCAGCTATTTTACTATAAATATTTTTCTAGTTTTTAATACTTACAATCCTGAACTTCTTGGAGGTGACAGAATTAGAGATCTGCCTGCTGATTTTGGTGGAGCTATGCCATTTTCAAAAGCTGAGCACTACTCCTCAGGATGAAATGTCAACCAGTAACTTGTGTTTGAGACCTTGCATGCTCAGCAGAAACTGTTACTTGTGACTGAGTCTGTTTATAGGAATTTTGGTATCTTAATAAAAGCAGCCTTGTAACTTATAGTTGACTTCTGTACTGTTTTCCTGTGTGATTTGGTCACAGGTATTAGAGATGTGCACTTGGTGGATGTGGCAGCTTCTGAACTGCTCCAGTACCAGTATAATGTTCAGAAATCACTGAAAACATGACACAGTGGACTGCACTTTCCACCAACTGCAAGAGAAAAGACCTCCTAAGGGGCTCTTTCTTCATCTTTACAAAGGGTAAACACACTTTAGTTTCATCCTTTTCATCAAAGACAACCAAAAGAGCATTCAGCATTCCCAGTCCAATTTATTGCAGCAATGTGGTGATTCAACCTGAAACTACTGTCACACCAGCCACCCCAGGTTCTTCACTTGCACAGCTCTGACTGCTGCTCCAAAAGAAGAATTGAGGCTCTTTGCTTGAACAAATAGGTTCTTAAAGAGTGGCACAGCTCCTTTATCCCTGAAGGAAGTTGTCCAGGCAGTCCCATCCGCTGATTCCTTAAACAACTAAAAGTTTGGTCTTCCAAAATTCAGTGTTCTGACTCTTTGCCTGGCCTGTATACCTCAGGCTTGTGAAAACCACCAGGGCATGATCACTGCAGCCCAGGCTGCTGCCAATGCTGACATTTCACTATTTAAAAACATAAATGTAAACAAATAAACATATAAATAAAAACAAACCCCCCAGCATTCATTTTATCTATGCTGGAAAGCAACAGGTGTAGTAATGCTTCCTCTCTTTTTGTACTATCACTTTTAGATTAAGAAATTAACCTCTTTGTGCCCCAGAGCCTCCCTGATTGCTTTCAAATCCCTGAGCTGCTTTTCCCCTGTCCAATTTGGCATTGCCCGTATTTTGTTCCTTCAATTAAGCAGTGGCTCTAAATAATTACTTAAAACAATGGATGGAAAATATAGAGGAATAAAGATTTAGTTTTGGCTTCTCACACTGTTTCCTAAGAAGCCCTTGGGGCCAGTGGTGTGCATCCATTAAAATATAAACAAGACAGGTTTTCAGTGCCTGTTTGGAAAGTTTTCTTGCAGGCTGCGGAAGGAAACAAAGGAACTGGAAAAGTTTGGCTGCAATTGATCTAAAACCATGATGTTGAGTATGATTTAGTCAAAAGCCTAGGGCAGAGAGCCTCCTAATGGCTTCCCTGATCCACAGGCAGCAAATTCCCTTCCCTGCCTCTCCTGCCCTCCATTCCCCAGTGTTTTTTCCTCTGAAATCCACAGAAGGAAGAGTTTCAGAGACCTAACACAAACACACACTAAAAATAAACATAATGCATGTGTAAAAGAAGAATCGAGAAAAAACCAGAATATTTGGAGATGGCAAGGAAGAGATCAGAGCAACAAAGCTGAAATTCTGTATGGAAGTTTCACAAATAAAACACTGGTGTAGTGCTTGCAATGGATCTCAAAACATCCCCTCACAATATTCCCTTTAAATCAGCTGGTGTTCAGTCCTCTCCATGATGAAGGATGGGGTAAATGAGTGTTTCTGCTTAGAAACTGGATTTGGTAAAATAATAACTGTAAGGAATTAAAAAATATTAGTTTTATTGAACTTTCTTTTTGTTTGTTTAGGTGGTGTGTTTTAGGGAAAGTTAAGCATATTTAGGAATACTGCAATTTTACTGTGCAGAGAGATCAATTTGAGCTCACCTTTTCCCCTTTTTCCTCGCCCTGTCCTTACAGAGGAAATATTAGTAAAAGTGCTTTTCCCTAGGTAATTTTCCCACTTATAAAAATATTTAATACCTTCTGGAAAATTACAAGTATTTGTAGGAACAGGTGAAGTAATAAACCTTTATTTAAACAGTGGTTTTCTCCTTTTCCTGCTTTACAGCAGAAGTAATCAATTTCAAAAGGAAAGTGGCATTTCTCTTCCACAATATTTCTGTTTAAGCCCAAAAAGAACACAATCATTTGGCAACTGCTTTTCTTTGAGTTTTTAGGTAACTCAGGTAACTCTGAGGAGGACCAGAACCTAAGGAAAATGAGAAGAGAAAATAAGCTTTGGTTCCATTATTGCTGATGCAGTGAATATTTGGCAAATTGCTGCATAGGACTTTTACTTTTTCCTCACCTGGATCAAGCCTTTGGGAAAATCCAAGGAAAAAATGGATATAATAATTGATTGAGGAGTGCTTGGTACCCCTGGGTATGGTGGCATGATGGAGCTGCTTTCACTGGTATTTGGAGGCAGATCAGACATGGTTCAGTAGGATATGAGGAGCTGCATTCTCAGCAGGCTGACACCAATCCATCCCAAAAAACCTTGCTCCCTCCAGGACTGTGAAGGTGACTCTGAATTCCAAGAAGAGGCTGCCTTCCTGACAGAGACATTTGAGTAAAATTTTCATTTAGGTGTAATTATTCCAGCAAACAATATCACTTCATCCTTGGGAACGTGCTGGCAGCTAATAACACTACTGACAGTGTGGATTCTTCATGGCTTATGCTCAGCAATACTGAAACTCTGCAAATCCACTCAGGAAATGTCTGGCTTTGCCTCTCGGAGTGTCTGGAGCTTTGATATGGAATGTTGGCCACGAACAGTGCCCTCATTTATTAGCTGCCTTTGGCATCTGGCAATTTGAAAAGATGAAGGAAGGGATTCACAGCAATATTTTGAGCAAATGCAGCTATTATTGGTACATGGAGACAGAAGGGTGGTGTGTTTGTTCTGGTGCCAGCCTTGAGAGGCTAATTACTGAGTTGCATGGCAATGGTGTTCTCAGGATTACTCCAGCACATTGAATTGTACCATACCTGCCCAGTGAGCAAAGGTGCCCCCTGGGCTGCTCAGCCAAAAAAGTGAAAATATGGAAGAGCTGAAATTCAGAATGCCTCCGAATCCAACTTTAATTTTTACAGAGCAGCTCTGGGGCCCCGCCTTTGTGTGTGTCTGTAAGGAATACATCAGGAGTTACAGCTGAACAAGATGCTGTTTGCTTCTGGGCATGTTTTTATTGTCCCAGAAAGATTTTCAGCTGATAAGTTGTTCGAGACTACGTTTTGTAGCCCTTATAAAAATCGTCTGGCTTAGTCACAGGAAATGGTAGATACTGCTGCAAATTTCCTGAGTCTCTTGGCATTTATTTGACTACCTGTTAGCATTTATCTGACTACCTGTTCTCCTCCTTTTCACTCGATTGGCTACAGCTGTGACATTGAATTCCTGAGCAGGAGAAAGGCACCTCTGTTTTCGGAAAGATCAGTGAGAAGCATGACCTTGTGAAGTTTATTCTCTTCCCTGAAAGGACATCTAGCTGTCACCTGAGTTCTCAGAAAGCCAGGATGTCCACGCTGTGTCTTTGTCCTATATCTTGGATGTCCTGTATCCTGCACTTCTCTTGTGACACAGCACTCCCAAAGACAACACAATTCCTATGTTCTTCTGTACCTCTTCTGGTACTCCCTACACAGACTAGAGGCTGTGTGGCCTCCCTGAGAAAATGAATGTTTGGCATCTTCCAGCTTTGTTATTTCTAGCACTTCTCCCAGTACTGAATTTTTTAAACTGGGATTTTCATGGGATAAAGCCATACACACCAGAGAAAGGAGCACCTGGGGTGGCCTCTGCTATTGACTCACTGCCTTCCTCTGCTGCATCCCATCCACATGAGCAACTGATATTTGTGCCATGTCTTGGGGTGCTGCATCTTTGCTCCTCCTGCTTTGAATTCCCCGGTGCCACTCAAATCCATTCAGCTGCTGTGACTGCCCCTGGCACTTGTCACTGAGAGCAAGATGTGACACACATTTCCCTCCCAGCAGCCTTCATCCAGGCCTGGGCAGGCATCTGCTCAACTTTTACAAGGAAGTTCAAAATTAAGAGTAAGAGATGCACTTTGAAGTTAATGTGATGGTGCCTGGGTTTTTTGAAAGTGGGGTGCTGAGTGAAAATACAACCTCCTTCTGTGCAAGTTGCTGATATTTCAGGTAAGTCTTCATGGCAGGTTCTTGCTGGAACTCCTGCTGCATTTGGCCGACGATGGATGAAGCAGGAGACAGAATAAAGGATGAAAAAAAGCCTTAAATTATTTCTGTGATTGTACAGCTTTTGTTTGTTGAAGCACAGGTATTAGGGACTGTCAGCTGAACAAACTGTGTCTGTGCTCTAAAGTCACCTGCTTGGAGTTTGTTTTCCTTCCCAGTCTCCATAAAGATGCAAACAGATCTGTCTCTATTTTAGCACTTCCTTGGGGAGTCAGATTGACCCTGCTAAACTAGAGCATCCCTTAGCCATGCTCTGCATTTACTGACACAGGTTTACTCAGGTTTTCTGTCTAGTTACACAAAAAATCTGCAATTACAGCTGCTGGAGTTAGTAAGTGCTTCGTGGTGCCCAACCAACCTTCCATTATTAACATGCCCAAGTAAAATCTCATGGAAAGTTTTACTGCACTTTTACTGCTGCCAACACAGCCTTGACTGATCCACTCAGCACAGCCAGGTGAGTTCATGTTCTGTACCTGTTTCCCAGTTTTCTGAGCCCTCTGCTGGGAGTTTGGCCTCTCCTAGGAGAGGATCTGCAGTCCCCAGCAGCCCCTCTCACTGTACAGCTGTAAGCAGCTGCTTTCAATGGATGCACAGAGGGATTTGAGCTGGCAGAGACCAGGAATCTGGCAGCTGATAAAACCCCATCCTCTGAGGTCACAGCTGACCAAACACACCTTCCTCCTGGAGATGCCCTGCTTGAGGATCAGCCACCCAGTCCCTGGCCTTCCACAGAGAAACTGTTTTCCCTCCTGCCAACAGGGTCTGGGTTTTATTTTTCTGCTGATCCTGCCATTGCTTGGCCGTGTGCTGGTGCCAGTGGCACGGGGTACCCAAGGCAGGCAGAGGTCACTGTCAGGGGGGGAGGCCCTGGCACAGCGTGCCCAGAGGAGCTGTGAATTCTACTGTCCTTCAAAGATGGGATATTAGAAAGAAATTCTTCCCTGTGAGGGTGCTGAGGCACTGGAACAGGTTGTCCAGAAAAGCTGTGGATGCCCCTGGATCCCTGGAAGTGCTCAAGATAAGGTTGGAGGGGGCTCTGAGCAAGCTGGGATTGTGGAAGGTGTCCCTGCCCATGGCAGGGTTTTGGAACCTTAAGGACCCTTCCAACTCAAACCATTCTATGATTCTGTGAAATAACTCATCTCTTA